CCCCCCCCCCCCCCCCGAGTGCCAGACGTGACAGCCCCTGCCCTCATGCCGTGTGTGTGTGTGTGTGTGTGTGTGTGTGTGTGTGTGTGTGTGTGTGTGTGTGTGTGTGTGTGTGTGTGTGTGTGTGTAAACCCGGGTGGGTGCAGCATTGGGCTAGCCATTGCTCGCCGCCTTGCACTTGAGGGTGCTCATGTTCACATTAGTAGCCGCAAGCAGGCCTCCGTTGATGCCGCCCTGCAGCAGTTGGCAGTATGTACAACTGGCTGCTCTTGTGCCGGAATGGTCACCCCTGGTGGTAACTCACGCTCCGGCTCATGGTTTTAGGGCGAAGGATTGGTCAACGTTACCGGCTCAACTTGCCACGTCGGTGCTGCTGAACAGCGGGAGGCTTTGTTTGAGGCTATTGAAGGTGCAGCACATTATCACTCAGCCCAGCAGAATGCAGCGCGTCCTGCGTTTGCTCATGCCTGACAGACACTTTTGCGTGGATCATCTTCCTGATCTTCAGACAAACACGGGCGCCTGGATATTCTTGTGAGCAACGCGGCCGTGTCTCCTTCCTTTGGGCCCATTCTCGAGGTACGTTACTGGAAACCCGGCTCCATCTCCCCCCACCTCTTGTCACTGACCATGTCCCAAGCGTAGACGACAGAGGCGCAGTGGGAGAAAACCTTTGAGCTCAATGTCAAGGTTGCTTTTTTGCTTGCGCAGCGCGCCATGCCGTTGCTGCAGGCCTCGCAAGGGTTTGTACCGTTGGCCACGCACCCGGCATGTTAAACTCAAGAGAGCCGCTCTCCTTCTGCCGAATGCCGTTAGTCTCAACCGTCTCTGCCCCCACACGCTCTGTAGCAACATTTTGTTTGTCAGTTCCATTGCTGGCTATACACCCCTCGAAAACCTGGGCGCCTATTCCGTGTCCAAGACTGCCCTTTTGGGGCTGACAAAGGTGTGCCATGTCGTGTCGTCTCGAGTGCCGCTTTTGGTGTCAACCAGTAAACCTCAAGCTCGTGCTAATCCTCCTGCACCCTTTGATCATGCCATCAAGGCTTTGGCCGATGAGTGCGGACCGCTGGGTGTGCGCGTCAATGCACTCGCCCCGGGCATCATTGCAACAAAGTTTTCCCGTCTGGTATGTGCTGCATTTGAACTGACACTCGGAAAGGCGGCGCCCGGCCCGCTCCATCTTATGCTCTGTTCATTCGGCGGACAGTTGTACGAGGAAGAAGAGACGCGAAACAAGCTGCTGGCCCACGTGCCTCTCAAGCGACTCGGGACGCCCGAGGACATGGCGGCCACGGCAGCGTTTCTTTGCTCAAACGATGCGGCATACGTGACGGGCGAGTGCGTCGTGGCCGCGGGCGGCATGCACTCACACTTGTGAGACCACAATATCATGATGCTGCCGCTTTGATCAACAAGCTGGCTGGCCAAGTACCAAGCCCATGCTCAAGAACTGAACATGATTGCAAATGGCTCAATAAGAATCCAGAATTTGGTTGGGATTGGCTCAGAGCGTTGTGCCTGTCCGATTCGGAATGTCGCAACAGATATAACGTGACGAAAGACACACAAAAACATAGACACACACACACCGCAACCGAGGTGCTTGGCACCCAACAGGACGCAACAACTCAAAGAAGGCGCCTGTTCGTCTTGCCCGAGAGAAGAGGCAAGCATTGGCATCACTCACACAACCCTGCCTCAGAGTTGGATGAGGATCAGCTCCTGATCCTGCCGCTGAGCAGCTGCCTCGGTCGGCTGGTCAATTTCAGCCTCAAGGTCCGTGCGTCTGTCATTGCCGGAAAGGGGAAGAGATTGAGGCAAGGCCAAAATTGACACGTCAGGCAAGGTACAGCAAAAGACGGACCGTTTGGGAATGCCGTCGGCCGGGGGTGGGAGATTTAATTCAGCTTGTAGCGCATCAAGGTCTTTCACGGTTTTGCATTGCTTGGCACGCTTGATGGACTGTGTAAAATGGGTGGCTTGGTGCTCTTGCTGTTGTTTACGGCGTTTGTGGGCGGCGCGAAGATCCTTATTGTTCTGTTCCGAGGCCTACCCAACAGGATCATCCACATTTGAGAATATATCAGACCTTCGTTGGCTCTTGGTGGCTCTGGACTGATTGATATCCACCCCCGGTCATGATTGCGATGGAAAGAAAAGGAGAGAAAAAAAGGAAAAAGCCTCGTCAATCCCAAGAACAAGGGGAGGCAAGAGAACAGCGCGCACCTGCTTCATCGCCTCTGCCCAGTGAAGAAGCTCATCGGCTTGAGCATCTGTCTCGTTGCTGGTCAGGACAACACCGTGCTCTGGCGCGTTTGCGGTGGCATTTCTAAACGCAACGGACAACGTGAATGAGCCTCTTGTACAGGCACAGGGTGGATAGAGGGCACCGAGCTATTGTCTGCACGCACGTCTCAATGAGGTGCAATAGACGGGTATGGTTGTTGAGCAGGCGGGCATGGCTCAAGGCCGAAACGGTCATTTCAGCAGCATCGCGTGACTCCTCGCCCTACTCCAGCGACATCAAGCTCGGATGAGCGCGTGGCGACAGACTCACCAACCTCACCATCGACAAGCCGGTCTGATGACCCCGCTCGCCTCGCCCCACCTGTTCCATGCACCGCAAGCTCTTGATGTACAGCTCTTCCACCTCCTTCTTGGTCTGTTGCACCGCCGCCATCTTGAACAAGCATTGAAGCGACAGAAGATCCGAACGTTACAGTTTGCACGCAACAACTGTTGTTCCCAACACCAATAAATATTATCTGACATTTGCATTGTCATACATTTTGGTGTTTGTGTATACCGCCAACAACACAAGCTTTTCGAGTTGTTGTGTTGAGCAAACAAATCACACACACACACACACACACACACACACACACACACACACACACACACACACACACACACACACACACACACACACACACACACACACACACACACACACACACACACACACACACACACACACACACACACACACACACACACACACACACAAAATTTTGACAAAAAAATTCAAACACAACACGTTGTGATAGATCTGACAGGCTTTCATACATGCTCTGTTTATCATGTGTTATTTGGCTGCATCTCTGGTTTGCCTATGATTTTTACTTTAGCTTAAAGGCGAAAGGCACCCGCCTCTCTGACTCAAATGTCATCGTCGTCCTCATCTCTTGTTTTCGTGGTGCTCAAGTCTCATTTTTTTTTTTTTTTGAAAGGGCACACGAGTGCGCGCCCGCCTCTCTCTCTCCTCTCTCTCCTCTCTCCTCTCTCCTCTCCTGCTCTCTCTTCTCTCTTCTCTGCTCTTGTGCGCTTTTGCTTGCTCCCTTCCTTGGTTCTTGACCTTGCGCGTGTGTTCGTTGGCCCAGCCGCCTGTGAAAGACAAGATCGGAATCGTGCTTGCTCGTAAGTTCGAAGGCGGGGCATTTAGGAATCCCGGGCCTCGTGTATAATCCAAGTCTGCCGTGCGTGTCACAACCTCAATTCTGATTGATTGGTGGCTCGCTTGCTTCTTTTAGCAGCTGCGCGCCAGGCGTTGCAGCCGTGCCCTGCAGCCGCCCAACATGGATGAAACCTCCTTTGCCATTCCGGTCCAGGTGCAAGAGTAAGTTTTGACAAGGCTCAAGATCGACAACTTGCTCGGCTTTGCTCCTCGGGTCTCACTGGACGCGTTCGCGTATCCCGTCACCCTGTTTTGGCACGCTCGTCCTGCAGCCTCTACTCGGCTTGGATCGAGGAAAAGTTTAGCTCCTACCGACCCAGCCAAGACGGTAGGTCTGGTCGTGCGCTTTTCGTCAACCAGAGCCGCCCGCTGTCTGCCGCAGCATGACTGTCAATGATCTCTGTTCCGCCCCCACGTTGTGTGAGTAGCTACACATCCACTGCCAGTAAAGGAGCCTACCACAACCTATGGACAGGTGCTCTTTGACAGCGACAATGGCAACCTCAGTGCCACCCATCTCTCACTTGGGGCCAAACCCTACATCCGCGTGGCCGCCGATACGGATGTCAAAACTGTAGGCCTTACCCGTGCTAGCATCTGCCCTGCCCTGCCCTGCCCTGCCTGCTCTGAATCAACCCCGACCCTTGATTTTGGACCACACCTGCCATCTTGACTCGCCCGCAGCTTTGCCAGATGATCAACGAGCACTGGGATATCAAAATGCCTCGATTCGTCGTCTCCATCACTGGTGTGCCTTTTCGTTTCGCTGCCTCGCTTGGCTGACTCTTGCTCAGGACCCGTGTCGAATCTCAAGCCTCATCCCGGCCATCCATGTGCAGGCGCTGCTCAAAATTTCAATCTTCCACCCAGACTCAATGACATGATTCGCAGCGTGCGTTTTCCTTTCTTGTTGGTCCGAATTCACTTTCCATCACCCGCGTTCCGCTTGACGTGCCGCAAATGTTTCGTGCCTTGTACAGGGTCTGCAAACAGCCGCTAAAACAGACGAATCCTGGCTCATCACGGGGGGGACCAACTCGGGCGTCATGCGCTATGTTGGCGATGCCAATGCCGACATCATCTCGGAAACCATTGTTGGCCCCATCTTTGGCATTGCCAACTGGTCCACACTCAATGGCCACGAGCAGTTGAAGTATCTTAATCCCTCTGATCCCAACCCTCAACCCGTTCGGTTCGTTATCTTGAGGAGTCCTGTCGCCCTCACCCTCCTCTTTGCACGCTGGCTTGCCCAGACACCTCATTTTGCCCCTCTTCCTACTCGCTGATGGCGTCCGCTCTAATTAGGGGCCAGGTGGCCATGTACGGCAACCCCGACGAATATCCTGAACCTCACCGCTCTTTGGATCGCAACCACACTCATTTCATTCTCGTGGACAATGGCAACCCCAGCCGCAATGCATGGGGTGGAGAGGTCGGTCGCACCCCGCCAACCACGTTGCACCCTTGGTTGTTGTTTTTTTCTGTCCCATCACCACTATCGCCGCTTGCATAGATTGAGCTTCGCACAAAGCTTGAGCGCCAGCTGGCCAAAATGAACGGCTTTGGCGAGTTTGACGTGGAATTTCCCATTGCCATGGTCACGGTGTGCATTCAAGGTGGCCCTGGTACAATTAATACCATGAAGGGTGCTGCCTCAGCCAACAATGCCCTCGTCATTGTCAACGGCAGTGGTCAAGCTGCCGATGCCCTGGCCTACGCCTACTATCTTCGGCATGAGCCCTCGAATGATGACTATTCGGAGGAGGGCCTCGTTGATCTTGTCACACGACAACTCAATGGCAGGGTTAGGGTTTTCGACCATCTTGCAAGCCTTCGACGGCCAATCCCGTATCCTCTTCAGCCTCTTCAGCGTGGCCTTGCTGCACTCACTTTTTCCGACAACTTTCCATAGACTGACTTGATCAGCGATATCAAAAAGGTCGTGGAAGTCAAACACCAGTGCTACATCTACAACGTCGATTACACGGGCCGTGTACGACCTCGCTCCCTGCTCAGTCTCGATGTTGTTAATGTCGCACTTCCACGGCACCCTCACGTGCTCTTGCTCGCCATGCCATCATGCGGATAGATTGAGTTGCCTCTGGACATTGCCATTCTGGATGCCATTCGCATCAACGAAGCACGCAATCCCGCCTGCCGCGTCAACTCCTGGCTCAACCTCAAGAATGATAGGCAGGAGGCCCAGCGAACCCTCACGCTCAACAAGCTTACTGATCAGCGGAATGCTGCCAGTGATCAAGCGACCATCAACTTTCTAACCAAAAAAATCGATCACGAAGTTAAAGGTACGAACGATCTCCCATCTCTTGGTGCCTCAACTTGACTGGTGTATTTGCATGACCTTGGCCCTCTGCCTTTCGGGCCTGCCTTTGCCCCCCGCTGCGTGTCAGATCGACTCAAGCGCCTTCGCTTCCAAGCTGAAATATCCAAAGTTCGGCTGCTGGAGCTTGCCCTCCTTTGGAATCGCTACGACATTGCCGAGTACGTCGTGTGGCCGGCCCGTGACGTCTCTGCGCCCCCAGCTCATCTGAAGCATTGAAAGTTTTGCGCCGTGGAAGCCGGTTTGCTTCGACTGACGCGGCACCCTGTTACGGCTTGGCGCAGGGATCTCGCCATGAAGACGCGCCTGATCCAAGACTTCAGCCGCATCCAAGAAGGCGATGACGAGGACGACAAGAAGCTCCTCAAGTCCAAGGCCCGCATGCTCAAGTGGGCCATGCAGCGCGATCGTGGTGGCTTTGTGCGCCTTTTCTTGGAAACCATGGACCGAGAGGACGTCCAGATGTTTCTTGAGCAGAGCGGCAAGGACTTTCCCACGACCTCTGCCAACAAAGCCAATCCACTTCTGTACGTGCGGTGTCGCTCAAAGAGATTCTGTTGCGTTTGCCATGTTTTTGTTTGAGCAGTTGGCCAGCAAATCCCTCACTCCAAGGCCAAATTACTTTTCACAACATCTAGCTCCCAGCGCAACAAGCAGGGTCTGGCTAGCTTAGCGGCCAACCAAGAAACACAGCAGCGTTTCAAGATTCCGCTCCCGCCAGAGGTTTTTGCAGAAGTGCCCCCTGTGCACCTGCGCCGAATTTACTTGGTATGGTTTTGTGAACGCTCGCTCGGTGTACACGCTCTCCGCCACCTTTCATCTTTCCAGCGCATTCATTGACGGCATTCCCCCCTCCCTCCCTCAAATCATGCCAGACCTGCTTTGAGGAGCGCATCGACTACGATCGCAGTACCATCAAGAGCCTGGCCTTGAACGCGGCCTTTCAAATCAACCGCGATGTACGCCTTTATTTGCTTTTCTCCTTGGGGCCCTCACCTTGCACAACTTGCGACACCGCTTTATATTCATCGCTCGGTGTCTGCACATCTGCTTGACATTGACGATCCCATACAGCTCAAGGCACTTGAGCACGAGGTGAGCTTGACTTGACGTTGATTCACTGGTCCTGCGCCTTTATGAGTCATGCAGCTTTTCGGTCACGCGCCAGCCGCACCAGCATATCATTTGCGCTCATCCCTCCTTTTTTTTTTGAATGCACAGCATAAAGCCATTCTTGAGCAGCTGTACAAGGAAGAGCGGTGTACTGCCTGGCACCTCAATCATGACAGCGAGCAATTTGTCATCAACTGGCTGGTGCGTTGCACGCCGCCGCCATCAAGCACTTGTAAACATTTCTTTTTGTTTATTTTGGTGTTTTTCTTTTTTCGTTGCTTTGGGCAGCATTCATGACTTGTTTTGCTTCTTATAGCTGGCCAAAGACTATATGGTATCTGAGCTTGAGGATGAACCACAGACCCTTGATGACACGGCTCGTCGCGAACTTGCTGAAGAGCTGGCCAAAGGCTTGCATCATCTCTGGGTGCATCGCCAGGTACGGCCAGGCAGGCACGCGGCTACGTCTGTGTTTTTCTGGTGATGTTGGTCTCATGGCACCGCGTTTGGGCACCATCGAACTTTCACCCCTCCTTAGCTGGACGACCTTGGCCATCTCAATGAAGAAGATCGAGAGAAATTCACCGATTCATCCCGCCGACCACCCTTGGTCGATTTTGATGATGAAAGCGTACGGAAACTGTGATTCGCTTGCACACACACACACACACACACACACACACACACACACACACACACACACACACACACACACACACACACACACACACACACACACACACACACACACACACACACAATCCAGATTGGGCTATGTCTATTGTAGAGTCTATTGGGACTGACTCTTGTGTCTTTGCTATGGCCTGCCTATCTGTAGTTTGCCATTGGACGCGCTAGAATCATTGAAGACGGTGCGTTTGGCTGCTCACGACACACGCTGTCCCGCCACGAGCCCGATTGTTGAAAGAGGATGCCTGGCTGATTTGCACGCTTTTTGCGACCATGTCAAATTATAGTGGACGGCTATCTCCATCACATCACCACCCGGGGTGGCATCTCCATCTGGCAGCCATCCACACTTGAGGAACTTTACATCAACGTAAGCTCCTAGCCGCGACCCGCACATCTCTTTACGTTTCCCCATCAATCCCACATTCAACCTCTCTCACCTCCTCTTCTATTTGACTTTTTTTTGCACAACAAAGTTGACGGTTCCGCGCTCGAATCGCGATATTCCAATCGTCGAAACCCTCTCGCGGACCTTCAAAGTACGAGGCGAATGCAACATCTTTCCAAAAAGTCGGATGGTAGTCTTACATTTTGTTTTGGCGGCGCATGCTAGGGTGGCGAGTTTACCATCGACTGCGTACTCGGCCACGTAAGTGATTTGGATGTGCCACAACGTTGTTGATTAATTATTTTTTTCCCTAATGTTTCGCGTCTCCTCCATCTTGTTTTCTGTTTCCTCATCTGGGCCTCATGCACGGCCCAATCTTAGTATAAAGATCTGTTGGTGGCCAATGATGGCCATCCGTTTGATCTGAGCCTCGACGAGTTCAAAAAGCTCTCACCTTACTTTCATTTGATGGTACAACTCTTCGGATGCGAACTTGGACCAATGTCGTCCCAGTGCGTTTAGACTTTGCAATACCGGGGCCTGTCATTCACTCGGGTTCTGCTCTTCTATTTTCTAGCTGTGGGCGGTCATTGGCAACCGCAAGGAGCAGGCGCTGTACTACTGGTCGATCGATCGGTCTTTTGCCATTGAAAATGCCCTCATTGCTTTTATCGTGGCGTCAAACCTCGGCGATCAGAAGCAGCTTCCGGTGAGTTAGGGGCTGCAGAAGTACAGACAGGCCTGCAATGTGATGAATGCCGTTTCCCCATTCATGCTTGACCGATTGCACAATGCCATCCCGTTGCTAGGTGGAGCTGCAATTTGACTATCAAGACATGGGGGAGGCGTTTATGGATCACGCCCGGCCACTCCTCAGCTACTTCCGCTCAGCCAACTCCATCACCTTGAATGAGCTCCTGCTGAACCAAACTGTGCAGGCCGGCCGTCTCCCAACTTGGAAACTTGGTATGATGCCTTCTTGTGGAAGGCACCGCCTCACATGCTTATCTTATTGCTGTATCGCCCCTGGTCATTTGATTCCCGAAACTTTGTGCCAATAGCCTATATTGCCAAGGATGGCGAGTTTGCAGCACAGGCCCCAATGCTAGACGTGGTTTCGGCAAAGTGGTATGGCAAGGTCGACCGGAGCAATTCCATGTGGAAGCTATTTTTCGGCTGCCTGTGCCCACCCTACGTCATGCTCCCGGCCGAGCCTCTGTACGTTTTCATGTCTGTGTGTGGAAGCATTGTCAACCGTGGTCGCCTTTAGCATCTCTTCCAGCGACGATTCTCACGGCACCTCCTGTTTGCAACCCCTTTTTGACTCTTGTCGTCAATTTACGTAGCACTGAGGGCGAGTATCTTCAAACTCTCTGGCAGCAGCTGAGATCGTTCCTCTTTGTGCGCGTCCGCCTCAACAAGAAGCTTGCTTTTGACATCGGTACGTCGCCATGTTCTGCTCGGAGAGGCACTGGAGGATTGAGTTGAAGCTCACGGTGAGCATGGGATTCCAGATCGTCTGGCTCTCTTTCGACCCACAGAACACAACAAGTATACCTCCTCGCTGGGCATTCCATCGGTACGAGTGCCTGTGTAGATGTTTTGCTGTCCCATTGCATTGTATGCAAAAGGATGCATGCTGTGAAATCATGCAAAGCACACTGCTTTTGGACCCCGCTTACCCTTACCCTTCCCCTGCTTTTGACCAAAGGCCGAGCATCACCGCCAAGCCAACCCGACTGCTATGATCCGCCGCATCTTGAAGCCCAAGGCCAACAGAGACGATGAAAGTGAGCGCCAGGTTGAGGGCGCACTGACAACGCAGGACATGAACCCCCTGCGCCATTATCAAACCAGGAGCGATTCCCTTGCCAGCCAGGCCAGCTCCAACGCGTCCTTGGACAAGGCTCAATTTTCTTCCCCCGCTCGATTGTCTGGGTTTGAGGTTCGTGCAGATGTCGCCTGAGAGTTTGCGCCTTTTAAACTTCATGGCAGTCGAGTCGTTGTCCTCACCGACTTGTTGTGGCGAATCGGTGTTTAGATCATCCGCCGCCGAATGTGGGCGTTTTACGAAGCTCCCATCAACAAGTTTATCTTGCAAGCTGTCTGCTACATTGCCCTTTTAATTGTCTATACCCTCTCCACATTGCCACAAACACGCTATTTGCTGACGTACCATGTCCGACTTTTGTGCTTAGTATCACGTTATCCGATTCTCACATGCTCATTTGAAGAAGCTAGCTGACTCACCTTCAATGCCGTGTCTCTGTTTTGTGGTGCAGTCGGATCAATTTTGGTTTTACGTGACAGCAGCTTGGATGCTGACCATGTTCCTCGAGGAGCTGCGCCAGGCCACGCATAGCACCATCGATGCATGGTGGTCCTCGCTTTGGAACCGGTTAGTACTCCGTGCTAGCGCTCATCCGCCCCCAGTGACACTTTCTGCGGCCGTGCTCATTGATGTCTTGCATCATCCAAGTACAGATGGGACTTGGTGATGTACGTCATGTACTTGATCTCTGTCCTGTTGCGCCTAGATCGTGATCCGCAATTCTTGGGGGTGCGTTTTCATCCATCCATCCATACCCGTTCTAGCGTTGAGACGGAAGGGGAGACAAGCCGAAGTTGCGCAGACAAGTGTGGATGAGCATCGGCCTAAAAACTCATTGGATAACATCCTGTCAAATCCCATACGACTTGTTTGCTTCCTGTTCTATGTTTTCTGTCATAATAGGCTGCGCGTGTGTTTTATTCGTTGGTGGCAGCCATGCTATGGTTTCGCCTGGCGCGACTCTACGCCGTCAGCCGAACGCTTGGTCCCAAATTGGTCATGATCCAGCTCATGGTGGTACGTACGCTTGTTGCAGCATTTTTTTGGCAATGCGGATCAGGTGCCGCACTCCACCTGCAAGTTGCTGTCGACTTTCCTGATTGCTGCATCCGTGCTTGCCCTGTTGCGCAGAAGGACATCATGGTTTTTTTGGCCTTGATGTTTGTTGTCTTTGCGGGCTACGCCATTGCCCTTTTTTCAACTCTATATTCAGGACGCCGACTCGACGAATTCACCTTGACAGAGCTGGTGCGTGTTGAGTCGTGCCTGTTAGCTTTCGGTGATTCACTTGCCTGTCTGATGACGCTAGGTATTGTGCTTGCCAACCACAGGTATTCCAACCCTACTTTCAAATTTATGGCGAGCTCTTCCTGGAGGAGATGCGCAGCGAAACCTCATGTATCAACGAGAACTTTAGTGGCTGCGGCAATGATACGGTACGCGTGTGGCAGTGCCTCATGGCCCACGGCTGCCGAGGACTGGACTCACTCGACTATGTTTGCTTCTTTCGCCCATAGGGCTTCTTTGCGGCCGTGCTTTTGGCATTGTATTTACTCATTGCCAACGTACTGCTGGTCAACTTGCTCATTGCGATGATGAGTGCGACCTACGATCAAGTGGAATCGCAAGCCGAGCAATTATGGGCGTTGCAAAACATTGAGGCTCTCCTGGAAGTGGATCAAGCGTGAGTAGGCCCATGGCACCGTGATCTGATCAAAAAGTCAATGTACTGTGCTTTGTTCAACTCACGCACCTTGCACCTTTGTGATTTGTATTTTTATTTTCTTGTTTCTTCTTCTTCTTCCTGTCCTCTGGTCATGCACATGTAGATGGTTTCTGCCGGCGCCTTTAAATTTTCCACGGAACATCTGGCTCTTTGTGCAATTTCTCTTGCGCTGCAACCCCAATAACAGCGTCAAGCCGCGCGATCTTGTGGAAATCAACGAGCCCGAGGACAGTGTCATGGAGTTTTCCAAGCAGACAACTCTGCAGTATTTTGTGGAGCAGCGCACACACGACCAGCACGCCGAGACACTCAAGGGCCTGGTTGCCAATCAGCAGCTCCTCAACCACATTGTCACTTTGATTGTGAACCCCGAAGCGAAGGTACGCAGACGTGTATGCCAATTGTGCCATTTCACTTGAGTTTGGTTGGAAGTGGTTGGCTCATGTTGTGGTCTCGCTTGGCTGCAGCGCGCTTATTCTGCACGTTTGTCCACGCTCTGAGACATAAGTAAACACACACTATTTAATTGTGGTGAAAGTTCGCTGAGCGACGAAATTCTTCTCTCTCAATTGACGTGTATCATCCTGTGATGCGACCTCTTGTCATTCGCTGGCCCCGGTCATGACGATGCCTTTCCAGCCCGAATAAAGATCTTTGAGAGGGCCAGAATCTCGTCATAACATTTCAATGTTAGGAACCATCCATCGAGTTATTTTTTCGCTGACTTTTTTTTTTTTTTGTGAGCAGACAACTCCAGCATAATAATAACAGCAACATGGCGACTGAGGAGGCGGATGAGGTTGCAGTGGTTGGCCGTGAGGATGCACCAGTAAACAACCTGGATGCGCTACTGGAGTGGGAGACGCAGGGGCCTTCCTTTTGTGTGCCGCGTGCGCAACGAGATAGCCTGCCTGGGGCTCGGATGTTGGTGTGCCACGATATGAAGGGTGGTTATTTAGGTGATCGTCGGCGACATGGCAGCGTCGAGCTCCCGACATATCAGCTCTATCATTGGCATTTGATCGACACCTTTGTGTATTTTGCCCACCAACTGGTGACTATTCCGCCTCGACAGTGGATTGACGTGGCTCACCGGCAAGGTGCCAAGGTCTGTCCCCCGGATTGGATGGTTTGGTGCAGGTCAAAGTGTCGCTGGTTGCGCCGCCGCGGCAGTACTGTTCCAAGCCGATCATAGCTGGCTAATGCATCAGCAATGTGATTTGGTGCCTCGTAGATTCTTGGAACCTTCATCACCGAATGGGAGGCTGGAGCCCGGGTGTGCAAGCAACTGCTAGCAAACGAGGCAACCTGGGAACGGGCTGCGCAAGCCTTGGCTGATATTGCCTCGCATCACGGTTTTGACGGTTGGCTCATCAATATCGAGAACAACCTCGAGGCTTGGGAGGTTGAGCCAATGTGTCGCTTTCTCGAGCTTGTTCACCGCAATTGCCACAAGACGGTTCGTCTTGCCAATGAGTATTATGAGTATTGGCTCAAAGAGCACGGTGCAATTGAGATTGGGCATGTCCCTTGCCATCTTAATGCAGTCCCAAGAAGGAGAAGGAGCCTGCCCGACTGCTGACTCACCGCGCTTTGCTCGGTGCTTGCTCGACTGCAGCTTGGCACGGATGCGTGCGTAATTTGGTATGACTCTGTGACCAAAGCAGGCCAGTTGCAGTGGCAAAATGAGCTCAACTCGGCCAACAAGCTGTTCTTTGATGTCTGGTGAGTGGCTGTGTCTCCCCCACTGCAGGTTGTCAAGGGACGGTCGGCGTCCAGTCATGTGGCCTCGCCAACTGACACATGCCCGTGGTCAACAGCGACGGTATCTTCCTCAACTATACATGGCTTCCCGATGGTCTAGCACGCAGCGCTGCTGTTGCGCGTCAAAGGTTGGTCCGCGTGCTCGGCCCCACGATGAAATGTTGTCGCTCTGGCGCATTGACTTGTATCCAGTCACACATCCCGGGGCGTGAGTAGACAGCAAGACGTCTATGTGGGCATTGACGTTTTTGGACGTGGAACCTATGGCGGTGGACAGTGGAATTGTGCCGCAGCGGTTCAATCGATAACGCGTATGTACAACCAGCATTGACCATTCGAGCGCTGCGTGCTTTGATCTTTTGAGAAAGGCCTTTGGCTTAATAATGAACCTGGATAGGACACCAGCTTGCCATAGCACTTTTTGCGCCTGGTTGGGTGTACGAGAATCTTCCTTTGGAAGACTTTGCAGCAAACCAACGCCGGTCTGTAACAAAACCCAACGCGCCGCGCAGTGTCTGGCCTGCGCAGCGTGGACTCGCATTTAACTATTTCAACGTTTTCCTCTTACATGACATGGCAGCTTCTGGGCTCAGTTTGAAAGCACGGGAGTCGTTGAACATCGACCAAAGACGCTGCCCGTTCAGACAAGCTTTTCTCTTGGGTCGGGAGATAAATGGTACCTTGAGGGCCAGCTGATTCGCTCGAGTCCGTTGGCCACGCTGGCAGGCCAGGTATGGGTTGATTCGTTTTGGCCGTGTCTTGAAACGGGTGGTACCAAGGTATTGTCCATGAATTTCATGCGATCGTTGGTGTAGGACCTGCTGCCAAATCTTCCAGTACCTACTGCTGGCGCCGCGCCTCCTTCTAATGTATGGACGGCTCTGATATCGCGGATCCTGTCCCGTGTTTGGTCCCTCACGATCGGCTGGGTGAATGGGACTGCGGGTGAGCAGCCCGATGCGGCAGCAAGTGGGCTTGGCACTCCAGAACTGGATTTGGCATCAGACTGCGTGTGGCGCGGTACCAGTTCGCTACGCCTTACCATCCCTCCAGACCACGGCCAGCCCGAGGCAGGTGCTTGTGTATCGCAACTCGTCCTACGCCTACAGATATCCAGCCAACTGCCCGTGACAGTCCGCTTTGTCACGTATGTTACACGATCAACCGTATCCTGGGGTTCTTGCTTGCAAATTAGCAGATAGATGAAACAACCGGGGGAATGACCAGTGCGGGGCGTAGCAATTGATACTTTGGTCTGCCGGGTGACCATTAGGCGTGCAACGCAAGGCTGGACAAGCATACGCTTGGCCCTAGCCTCGGAGACGGGTGAGCCTGTCGATGCTCTTGATCTTCTTCCCAAGAGTCGCGTAGCTGGCAACGCTCGGCCAGATGGCGCCCACGTGGTAGTGGCAACGGAGCTTCCCACTGAGAGTGGGTGGCAGGTTTACTCGGCTACAGTGCCGCCTGATTTGCTTCAGGGACGCGTCATCACTGCTGTCAATCTGCAGCTCCACGATGTTTGTTTTGACAATCAAGATGTCGTTGTGGCACACCTGGGACACTTGAGCTTGGCCAATGGCAATGAGATTAAAGATTGGTATGTGACCTGCTCAAGGTGGCTGTCGAGGTAAAAATACTATGCTAAACAACGAACATGTCATTTTTGCCATCGCACCTTTTTTTTTTTTTTTTTCTAGGAGCGCGTGCTCACCACGTCTTTCACGGGAAGAACACGTCAATGACACCAAGAACCACTATCGCCTTAGTCTACATCAGAGCCAGGTGTGTCACCATGAGCTTATTTGGCGCATGCCCTCTCGTTCTGAGATTGGTGCCCTGCATCACACCGTGAGCATCCCATGGTCTTACCTCTTTACCGCCCGTCTGGCAGGCATGTGTGCGGAGCTACGTTTTTGTAGACGACGAGCTTTACACGGTCACACATGAGGTACATCATGTTGATTGCTGTTTTGTGCGCCTCAGTTCAGTCACACTCATCCCACAACATTTATGCCTCCTGTCTCGCGCACAGTCATCGACGGAATTGTATTTAAGCGAGCCCCTTGCGACGCGATTGAGCGTTTGCTACGAACGCAGCGATGGCCAGATGAGTCCTCGAGTACCAGTAGCCCGTACGTAAAGCAAGACCGCAATACTGGCAGCTACACCGTCACCCCATCGGTCCGAGCTCTCTAACTTGTTGATTGAAAACTCAAAAAAATTACATGAAGTAAAACGTTATGTGTGGTGAACAACGGCTCCATTTTCTGCTTGTAACATCACACACACACACACACACACACACACACACACACACACACACACACACACACACACACACACACACAGACGGGGGTCATGAAAGGGACGCGCAGAACGTGAAGGAAGAGGGCGTTTGGTGGCCGCGAGCAGCGGGTACCCGGTCAGATGGCCGATGATGCTGAAGCGGTGGCCAATTGTCCAAACGCCCATATCGTGCGTTGGTTGAAAGAGCTGCAGGCACAGGTCGGCATGGTCTGCAATCGGGCGCGTACGCAACACCGGTTCGCTTCTGACCATCTGTGCGCGTGGGCGGTAGGCGACCTCAGAGAATCGCAGAGAAACGCTACAACGTGCCATCGAGAGCGTGGGCACATGCCCACATCGCTTGCGCAACGGCAACGAAGCTACGAAGGTATGTATGCCATGTGACCTCTGTCTATTTCTCAAAACGCAGCGTCGCTGACCTCAGTTTGGCATCGCGTGTGTCAGCTAAGATGGATTGGCCCGTACATCGGTGCCTACATTGATCGTCGCCTCCGCCAAGCCGGCGCCTCGGCTGCCGACTTGATCACCTCTTCGCGAAGGGTGACATCAAGTCGCCGACCTCGAGTCAAGCCACCCCACACCTCCGTGACTGCGGAACCCAAGTCTGATGCGCCTATTTCAAACTTGCGACCATCGCCCCAGGCGACGGTACAACTCTTCCCATTTGCCGCCCCCCAACAGCGGCCAACAGCCACTGGCAGCACTCCTGCTGCTGCGACGCCCCTTTCTTTAGATGAATTGGCTCATCCATTGCTGCGCTCGCGCTCTGCCATTGCGGCACAACGCGTCGTGCCTCCTTTAATACCACGCTCAGAAGCGCCAGCAGCCCCGAGCCCAACGCGCGCGCTCTACCGTCCAGCGCCTGCACCACCCGTTGGCTCGCCTCCGCAATCTGCCGTTGCACCCCTTACAGAAGTTGCCGCACAGCAGATCTTGACCGAGCCATCACACGCACCGCCAGCCAGCAGCGGATTCGCCTCCTCGGTGCCACCACCTGCGTCGGCTTCAGTTGATGGGGATCCAGCACCAATCTCTTCTGGAGTTGCGCTTTTGCCTGAGCCGAGTCAGTGTCGCGCAGCACATCGCACCATGCGACCAGGCGAGTATGGCCTGCAGCTGTTGGTCGACCACCGGGAGCACAGGCTTTTGCGCTCCTTGAAGAGAGCCTCAGTGCCCCACGTCGTCACAACCTTGGTGACGGGCGACATGTTGTGGGTGGCTCGACATAAACTCAATGGCACCTGTGCTCTCTTGCCCATTGTCATTGAGCGCAAAATACACCGGGACTATGTTGACAGCTTGCTGAAGCACAATCGCCTCAAACTGCAACGCCAACGACTTGCCGCCTCACAGGTTCCCAAACGTGCCCTCGCAATCGCCGTACCTGCTTCTTGCGCACAGTCGACTTGTTGCATTGACCATGGCCATGACATACTGCTGGTTGTTGTATTTTATGCCGTGCGCTTAGTGCGGCCGCCCTACTCTTGTCCTGGAGGGCTTGTCAAAGCAGCGCGAGCATGGGTTCATCTCGAATAACAAGATCCGTCAATCGCTGCTCAACATGACGCTGGAACAGAACATATACTTGATACAAACGCGCAATACTGACCACACGGCAGAGCGTCTCCGGGTGCTCAACAAGCAGCTCAAAGAGCAATACAATGTGCGTGTCCCGCCCTTTTTTGGAGATCTCATCAATATTATGTCGTGGGTTGTCCATTGGGCACCATGCCGCGAGAGCTCTTCTTTAACCAACCGGCGTACACACTTGCTATTTGCCTCAGCCCGGGAAGCCAACTCATGCTTGCTGTGTTTGGGCGAACGCCACCTTCTAGGATGTGACCATTCACGTTCACGCACGATGTGCCGGGGCTTGCAGCGTCCTCGACTGCATACCCGTTTCGATGCATGTCATCCAAGACGGCGCGTTTCACACCATTGAGCTGCAAGACTTTTTCATCTTGACCAAGCCTCGCGAGGTCAAGCCATTGACAAATATTGTTCAACTTGGATCGAGCATCGGGACTAGCCCGCTCCTCATCTCCAACCTTGGTCTGGGATAGGCTGAGCCGCTACGAATAGCCTTTGCGCAGCAGCTGACCTGCTTGGCCGGTCTCACCCCTCAAGATGCCTTGCTTCTGACTGCACACTTTCCCACCCCACAAAGGTTTGGCCGAGCCATTGTTGCCTTCACAGAAAAGGTGGCAATAAAAAAAAGAGCACCCGCAGAGCTCATCTTGTGTTTTTGGTTTTTTTTTTATTTTGATTTTTTTTTACCACTTGCCGACTTGTAGCCTCATGGCTTTTATTCGAGATAGCATGGCAACCTCGCCCGCGGCTGACTCGGAGTCAAATGACGACTGCGGAGAGTCGTTGGCAAAGCGGCTCAAACCATGCATCAAAAAGCTAGCCCAATTAAGCAGACAAACGAACGAGCATGGTGCTGTGCGCAAGGTGCGTGTGGCGCTGCCAGTACCATATCCTCAAATTGTTATTAGTGCTTTGAGGGTGCACTCATTTGACTGTGCAAAAATTTCACGACGTGTCTGGTTTTTAATAGTTTGGCTCGGTCAAGGCTGCCAAGATTGTGCACCTGTATGCACGACTCAAGGCTGACTGACGGTTGTGTGCAGCCAGGGAACTCACCGAGGGATGCATTGTCGTTTCGGCGATGGACCCCGTTCATCAAACCTGATGTCCATGACGTTGTAAACCCATCTTTTCTGCAAACAGCACCAAGCGCGTAGCTATGGTGGTCTTTTTGCGGCACGCATCTTATTCTTTAGCCATGCAATGTAATTGGTAAGCTCCTACGCTTCACCTTCTGCATGCCATTCATATCTACCCTCGCAATCGATGGCCATTATTTGAGCATGTGCATGTCAAGTTCCTGAACGACTTGCGGCTGAAAGTGACGGCGAACATGAAGATAGCCGCAAGTGACGCGTCTTTATTTTCGCTTGGGCTCCAGAGCCTACTGGCCATAAGCTTGGCCGATGCAGACCAACACCAGAACCAGTAGGAAAGAAACCAATAAAGCTCTCAAGTACACGCATATGTGTCTAGCCCGCCTCAACAGCGCCCCTCGTGCCGTGACCACCAGCAATGAGAGCAGAGCGAGCTTATACAAGCAGGAGAGAAGATGTTGGTGAAGAAGCAGAAGATGAAGATGTACACTCAATGGAGTACAAAGATAATGAAGACAAGTGATCCGTTTGTGTCGTATCAAGGAGGGGACGAGAGCGTAGCGAAACAAGCCAGGCACAGACGAGCGGTCAGAACCAGAGCGAGAACCAGAGACACAAAGCAAAAGCCACCAGCCATCGAGCCACAGGAAGAATCCAAAAAAAAAGCCCAGTGATCAAGACAAGAAGCAGAAGAGAGAGCGAAGCTTGACGGTCAGCTCAAGATTTCTTGATGAACACCTCTCTCTCGCAAGCTCTCTCTCTCTCTCTCTCTCTCTCTCTCTCTCTCTCTCTCTCTCTCTCTCTCTCTCTCTCTCTCTCAAACTCTCTCTCTCTCTCTCTCTCTCTCTCTCTCTCAAACTCTCTCTCTCTCAAACTCTCTCTCTCTCAAACTCTCTCAAACTCTCTCTCAAACTCTCTCAAACTCTCAAACTCTCAAACTCTCTCTCTCTCAAACTCTCTCTCTCTCAAACTCTCTCTCTCTCAAACTCTCTCTCTCTCAAACTCTCTCTCTCTCAAACTCTCACCCTCTCTTCTATTTTGCAAAAGGGCGGTGCTGGTGCTCAGTGCGAGCTTTTGAAGCTGCATCAACAGATCAGAACATTCCTGGCTGAGCAGTTGAGGACGTGGTGCAGGGTGTTGCTGGGCATCACCACGTCTTGAGCATTGTGCTTTTGCTCGTCGGCCGTTTGTGCCGCTTGTGGCCCGTGTGCCCGGGCGTGATGGCTGCGCCGTCCCCTGCGCCAACAAATCCTGATACGGCTGTCATCAAGGAGGAAGCAACCGCGGCCTCGGAATCGAATGCAGCCCCATCGAGCAGCAATGTAAACGCCGGTTCGGCCCGCTATCCCCTGCCGGAAATTGGTCATTCACTGCCTGTGCGCTGGACAGATGGCACGGAACGTAAGTTGCACGGGGCATCTTCACCGCTGCATCCTCATCCCTGAGCGTTGTGTGTGCGCGCGCTGACCCTATGGGTTGCTCGACATGAATCTAACCCGCGCTGTGCTCGACCTGCCCATGCTACTGACAGACGACGCCACGGTGGTGTTTTCCCGAGTCAAGGGAAACAAGCACGCTTTCTATGTCCACTATGACGGCGGTCCGTGCCATTGCTTTGTTTCATTTCTTGTTCCACCCCTCCCTCCTTCTTTTTCAGCTTGCTCTGCACGTGTTGGCAAAGCGTTTCGGTGCTCAAATTATGGGCCCTTGCAGTGGACCGGCGGATGGATGAATGGGTGGATGTATCTCGACTCAATCTTGAGGCATACGCAAAGCGCCTGCGCGACACACCAGCGGCTGCCCAGGCGGCCAGTACTGCGGCCAGTGCAGGTGTGACAGACGACGTACGTCATCGCTCAACGTTCCTCTGAGCTGATCTGCGCGCAGATTGTGCCCCCACTCCCCCTTCCCACCCCATCCTCGTCTCAAGCCTCACGCTGGCGGGGAACCTTTCTGCAGTCGGATGAGCCGCAGCGCAAACTGACGCGCCACATGAAGCGGCGCTACAACGAAGTTAACAACCTGCCCACCAACGAGGATGTTGACGCCACAACCGCTGCTTTGGAGCTGGAGCATGAGAAGCACACAAAAGTCAAATTTGTGAACCGGATTTATTTTGGCGTGTACGCCATGGATACGTGGTACTTCTCACCCTATCCTGATGAGTATGGTAAGCAGCTGGCCAGCCCGCCCGACTGGTCGTTCGCCTGCAGTGGTTTGGCGTGGGACCTTTGAACCTGGGACCTCATTCTCGTTCTTGTAACGGTACGTCTCTGCCGTAGGCAAGAGCCCAGCTTTGTTCGTGTGTGAATGGTGCCTGAAATATATGCTGCAGCCAACGTCACTGCGTGATCATGATTGCCAACACCGACAACCACCGGGTCGGGAGATTTACAGGTATCGGTGTTCCTGCGTCAGTGGTCGCTATGGTAGGACAGAGTCTCATGGAAGATGTTGTGGGGGCTTTGAACCTACACATGATAGAAAGGGCAACGTGTCCGTGTACGAGGTGGATGGCGCTGAACACAAACTCTACTGCCAGAACCTTTGTCTTTTGGCCAAGGTATGGTTCACCGTTATTTTCCAGACCCGTGAGCCGTGCGCCCAGCCGTTAAACCGGCAATCTTGGTGATGTAGGTGTTTCTGGACCACAAGACACTCTACTTTGACGTGTCGACATTTTTGTTCTACATCCTCACGGAGGTGGATGCTGATGGAGCTCATTTTGTGGGCTACTTTTCCAAGGTTCTTCTTTGCTGCAAACACCTTCTTTCCGTTGGCGCGCTCGCCCCCGTCCATGCTCACAGCGCCGACCTTTTCCATTCTTGCAGGAGAAGGTCAGCGTGGACAACAACAACCTGGCCTGCATCTGCACGCTGCCCCCTTACCAAAAAAAGGGTTATGGCCGTTTTTTGATTGAATTTAGTTCGTTCCGCACCTCCTTTGCCCCTTGAACTTTTGCCTTTTTCCCCCATTCTTTTGGGGCTTGGTTGTCCAACCTCGATTGGGCCTGCCATCTTTAGTTGCCACCACTGACTGGGTGTTTGGCTTGGTTTACTTGCTCTGATTTGTCAGGTTATGCACTCTCACAGGCTGAGGGAAAGATTGGTTCGCCTGAGAAACCTCTTTCTGATCTCGGCAAACTAGGCTACCGCAGCTACTGGTCTTGGTGCGGCCACACACCTCTCTTTGTTTGAGCGCTCCGCGGCAGCCTTCACTTCTCACAAGCTTCGAATTTTGGCTTTGCTTGTGGTTTGCGTGATGGAATGGCCCAGGCTCTTGTTAAATGCTTTGCGTGGCAAAAAAGGAACCATCAGCATGCCGGCGCTCAGCAAGGCCACCGGGTACGTCCAGCCCTGTGCCTCAACCGCCCTCTGTGATGAACGTTGTTTCGTCCGTCGTTTCTCGTGGGTCCTTACCCAATCCTAATGGTTTTGCTGATATCACAAATGTGCCTTGGCTTGCAGTATCGCACCGGACGATGTTTTCAACACACTTCAAGCGCTCAACTTGACAAAGTACTGGAAGGGGGAGCACGTTGTGTGCATCACGCCAAAGCTAATTGACGACCTGCTAGCCACGGGCAAATTCAAGTATGTGCCCGCCTTTTCTGCTTGATCAACGGTGCGTCGGGATTTTGTCTCATTCTAGCTGCTGCTGCATGACAGGGGCCCGAAAGTACCGGTCGATGTGCGATGTTTGCGTTGGTCCTCGCCTCTTTAATGCAACTAAACCTGACCCCCTTCTGGCTCAACATCCGGATGTAAATTCGAGCGGCCCAACAATTCAAAAGAGAAAGCGTATGTCTGGAAGAAGTCTTGCCTGCAGAGACCATCAGGAGCAACCAAGTGTCAAGGCCATCAAGCACCAAAAGGCCATCAAACCAAGACTGCAAGGAAAGCGAGCGGAGACACACACACACTTACCACGCACAGATGAATGATGAGATTTACGATAATGATGATGAAAGACAGAAGAAGACATGAGCAAATCCCTCTCTCTCAAACTCGAACTCGCTCTCTCATTCTCTTCCTGCTCTCTTCTCTTCTCTCTTCTCTCTTCTCTTCTCTTCTCTGCTCTCTTCTCTTCTCTCTTCTCTCTTCTCTTCTCTTCTCTCTTCTCTCTTCTCTGCTCTCTTCATCTCTCATCTCTTCTCTCATCTCTCTTTCTCTCTTCTCTCTCTCTTCTCCTTTTTTTTGAATTGGCAACGGGGCGAAGGAGCACGTTGTGACTGGGGAGAGGAGCGTGTGATTCGGGGTTTGTGCGCGAGGGGAAGAGGACGCGACGGACGAGGGCATCGACCCCGGGTGCTGTGGTGCTCAACTATCAAGGCCAATACCAAAGACCAAGGCCATGGCTCTGCCGCCACACGATTTTCTCATTCTCTATGGCTCTCAGACTGGCCAGGTCAGACAGACCGTCATCGACCACGTGCCCGTTTTGTCGCACGTCCTTGATCATGGTGTGCAGGCTCATGCGTGGTTGTGCTTGATGCTGACCCAGGCTGAGGGCATTGCTGGTGACCTGCAAAAGGACCTCTCCGCAGCTGGCCTCAATCCACTCCTATTCTGCATGGATCAGTTTAAAAAGGTCAGCCAGCGCACCAGCGCCTCTCCGCCTCGGACCCGGCTTACTTACTTTCGCCACCGACCTCAGTGCGATGACTTGTTGTGAAAGTTGCGTCATGCTGACCGCCGTTGCATTCCTGCCACACACAGTTTGATTTGACACAGGAGCGGCTCGTTGTGATTGTGTGCTCAACGACTGGAGAAGGTATTGGACCTGTGCGTGGCTGGGTGATATCGCAAAGTGACCCCAGCTAGACCATGCTTAAAGGCCTCTGTCATGACTCTTGAATCAGGTGATGCCCCCGATAACGCAAATCGCCTTTGGCGTCAGACCAAGAAAAAAACGCTGCCGAGCAACCATTTCGCCCAACTCAGGTCTGTGTATTGACCAATCCGCCGCATTCCCACGATCTGGGCCGTCCAAAAAGATTGAGACTGCATCCAGCTGACCCTCACCATCTTGGGCTCGCAGCTACACGGTACTCGGCCTTGGCGACACCAACTACGCAAACTTCTGTCAAATGGGCAAGAATTGGTACAAACGGTACGTCGCCCCGCATTCAGCCGACCCCAGGAACCGTGTCGACACTTGCCTGCCAGTCGAACATCTCAACCACACCAACCCTGCCAGTCTGAAAGACCTGGGTGCCACTTGCTTCTACCCGCCTGGCTTTGCCGATGATGGCACGGGGCTGGAGATTGTAGTTGAGCCTTGGCGCGCTGGCTTGTTGGACGCCCTTCGCAAGCGTCTGGCTGAATTGCCGCCGGCTGCTCCGGCTGCCTCAGCCTCTGAGGCAGCAGATCCAGGAGCATCATCAACAGCAGCCATCGCCGCCAAGTCGGCCGTCCCTGTGGGAAATGCTATTGTTGGTTGAATTTTTTTCTGACTCCTCCCCAATGACAGAGCTGCCCTGGCTGTCTGCCTGTTATCCTGCAGTCGAGCCTTTGGGCCTTCACGCCAGGTGCCCACTCAGTCATGGAATTTTGCGCCATGCTTGTGCCGCACGCTTGCAGAGTGATGACGACTTGACGTTTCCACACGACTATAAACTATCCCAGGTAGCCAAGCCTCTTTCCCGGCTTGTGAAGTTATGTTGATGCTGCTTTGCGTGAACTACACTCATTCCCATTTTTGTGACCAGCTTCGCTTGCCACGCCTGCATAAGCTGACCTTTGACGTCCAACTGCAAGCCCCCGAGACTGTCGACCCGGGTGTGTCGGCTGGTGCGGCTTCAGAAACTGAGATGCCAACACCTACCACCACACCCTATCGACCTGCTGTCCTCACGCGGTATCGGTGAGTTGGCACCAAATCCATGGCCGTGCTCTCAGTCGTGTATGGCGCTGTTTTAAAGACTGTATTGTTGCGGTCTTATTAGGGTACTGACGGCACCCAGTGCTGTGAAGCGCGCCATTGAAGTCGAACTGGCCATCGGCACGGGCACAGCTGGACACTACTCCCCAGGTTCCCATTGCTTTTGGCTCTCTTGTTCTTTTTCAGAGGCGGTGGGAGAGAGGGGCGCAGGGGAGTTGCCCTTTTTAGGGCGCGAGAGGCGATTGGCTCAACAGGTTTACAATATTTGTGAAGACTGACTAACGAGGAACGTCGCCACCCACATAGGCGATGCCTTTGCCGTGGCCTGCCCCAATCGCCCCTCGGAGATTGACCTCTTCCTGAGCGTCTCTGGCCACGCCGAAACTGCTGGTATGTGCGGCTTCTGATCATTGCTCTTCCCAAATCACTTCTTACACTGCGTGCTACCTGCGCTGTGTAGATCACCCCCTCAGTTTCTCGGGCGCCGTGCCTGCCCACCTCGAAGTTCGTCGGCGCTTATACCGGTTATTCTTGCCGCCACGTTTCACTGATATTGGCGCCTTGCAAAACACGTCATAGAATTGCCGCACGCTTCGCGAGGTAGCGACCTCGGCACTTGAACTGCGAGGCGTACCTAAAAAGGCACACCTGCGACTCTTGGCTGAATACTGTTTAGAGGCAGCAGATCGCAGCCATTTCCTCTGGCTCTCCAGCCAACAAGGTCAGCCTCAGTTTGTGACGCATTCAGCAACATGAGAACGGTGACGCTGTGGCCTATGCATGGGCCACACCATTGACACACATGTCTATGATAGGCGGCAATGATTATACCGCCAATGTGCGGAATTCTACCGGTGGCTTGCTTGAGATTCTGGTCAAATGCCCCTCTTGCCGGTGCGTGCAAGTGCTTGCCAGGTTCTCGTGATTGTACAGCACTGCACCCTGATTCATGCGTTTTGTTTGCGATCGATTGGACCGTGTTAGGCCCCCTCTCCATGTTCTCTTCACTTGCTTTGCACCACTTCAGCCACGCTTTTATTCGGCGTGCAGTGCGGCGCGCGCCTCGCCGGGCTACGTGCGTTTTGCTTTCAACGTCGTTGATGATATCAGCTCACCTGATGGCCAGGCGCCAGAGGACGGCACCACTGCCCGGTAAGCCTCGACTTCCTAGCCAAACCAGAAGCCCCTGCTCGATTTGGTTTGGTATCTTTTTACCCACCTGTGTACCTTCACGTTTGCTGGTTTAGACCCGGCCTTTGCACAACCTATTTCGAGGAACTTTGCTTGAGTTTGCATGACGTCCGCCCAGCAGACGTTGCTGACATGCGGGCCAAGGAGACACGGGGCCAATGGGTGGGTCCAGCCACGGCTATCAAGGTGGAGGATGTATGCACACCGACTGCGCTGCCTACGGATGGCCGATTGCCCGTGCGTGTGCTCTGTGAGGAGCACTGGCGTACGCAGCCCGTTGTGGCTCTCCACCTGCGGCCAACACGCGGTTTTGCCCCGCCAGATGACCATGGCCAACCCATCATCATGGTCGGCCCGGGCACTGGCATTGCACCGTTTATCGGCTTTCTCGAGGCAAGGTAAGGTTTGGCAGTTTCATGAGTGAGACTCGACTATGATATTTAGAAGAAGGAGGTGTCGGTGAGCTCTCACGCCATCTCATGGATACACTCGCCTTTTGCAGGCAACATGCTGCCCATGTGCCCTCAGGATTGGCTCTACTGTTCACAGGCTGCCGGCACCGAGATCGCGATCTACTATTTGAGTAGGTGCCGTGCTCCCGCCCTGCGCTCTGTCCTGAACAGCAGCAGCGTTGGCTCACAGAGGACTTATCATCATGTAGAGAGGAACTTGAGCAGGCTGTCCGCGACAAGGCGCTGGAAAAGTGGGTGACGGCCGTATCGCGTGAAACAACTTCGAGTGGCTTCAAATATGTACAGGATGCCTTGCGAGCCAATGCGACCCTCGTTTCAAAGTACGATATACAGTTGTTTTTTGAACCAGGCAAAGGTTTGGAGTTTTGATTTTGTTCTTTTGTTTGTTTTTATGTTTTTTTCACATGAGGTATCTGGGCTACCGCTGATATATGCATGGAACCTGCGCGATACGTATCTGCGGCAGGCTCTTGCTTGAAGAGGAGGGCTCCCTTTTTGTGTGTGGTAGCGCCATAAACATGGGTCGCCGTCTGGACGAGCAGCTCGAGACGATCTTCATGACGGTATGCTGAACCTCTTGCACCAGAACTGCCGGATTTGTTGCGTCTTTTGAGGCTCTTTGATTAATTTTCGCACCTTCTCTCCAGGGGGCGGGCTTGAGCAGTGAGGATGCTGCCATTGCTCGTGCTCGTCTTGTTACAGAGGCCCGTATCAAGAAGGACTTGTGGTAATTTGTTGCGAGGAAGAACGTGGCGTGGGGCCAGGGTGCGGTTGTCCTTTTCTGCGAAGCAAATTGCTGGTGAAACGATGTGGTTCATGGCTTTTGTCTTTTTCGTATCAAAAGGGTTGTGTTCTCAGATGTCTTTCAGCGCGACTGAGTGCTGTGCTGTTAGGATTAGGGCTCAAGAAGAAACAGAATACCGTACCTGGACGCACCCAGGGAACGGTGTATCTCAAACCCCTAGCCAATTGAGCCGCTGTAAAAGTTATTCCAACCCTCCTTTCCGCTTGACCTAGCCTTCAGCCCGTTTTGTGCACTGCTTTGACCTTGACAGTATGCACTGATTCTGGCTTGTCAATTTGTTGTCTCACTGATACAGAAAAGGATTACAAGACGATGTATGGATTAACACCTACCCCACCACAACCACAGGCCACATGTTGGGCTGTCTTGCTTGTCTTATTTTGCATTCCTTGTTTCTACCTCCAGCCCGAGCTCGGGCTCGGAATCGGAATCGGAATCAGTCTCAGATTCGGACTCGGTCTCAGTTTTCTTCTGAACAGGACCGCGCCGCCAGTCTGGGCTAGTCAGGTCAGGCAAAGGAGCCTTGTTTTCGATGCATGTGCGCACGAGTCGCGAACCACTTGCGCAAAGGCGCAGGAATTTGTCAAAAGCTAAGGAGCAATGATGCAAAATCAGAGAATAGAGACGCAAAACGGCGGACCGGACAGGCAACATACTTCTTGGTGCGCTGACGGTGCGCGTCAAATTGTGCGTCGGATCAAATGGATCTACATACAGGGAGGCAAGTCAGGGACTCGTTATGGAGTATGCTTATTTCAAAAATTGAGCACGACAATGCAGAAAAAAAAAAAAAAACTGCGCACCTTCGACGGCAATAATGTCGGCATCCCAATCTTTGTCTGCTTTGAACAAAACTGTGCCCTCGCGCACTTGCATGACGCGCTTCTCAAACGGGAATGTGGCACAAAAATCGAAAAAGCCAGCCACAAGCTCAGCCAGCGTTTGTGTGTTAACCTCGGTACGCCTCCAAGTCTATGCATCAGGGAAGAGGGGTAAGGCATTGAGAGTGTCGTACAGTGACCTAGCATGGCGTTGATTGTTGCGACAAACCTGTTGCACATAAGGCAGGTCGGTACAGAAGTAGGCATCATAGCCATCAACCAAGCGCTGTTGCTTGGGACAGGCTGGTGATGCCAGCTGTTGGCAAAGGAGGTTGATCAGGCCATGGCATCCCAAGGAGGCACCGGTAGCAAGCAATGTAACACGGGAAAGGTTAACGCACCTGCTGCAAGTAGGGCAGGACTGGGGGCGATGCTTGTTGAAGGGATGCAAGCAGCATCATGGTCATGGCATAGGATGAAAAGCCGCCTTGCGATGCGTCATGCAGCCCAACCGCCTTGCACCACTTTTTCAAAAAATACCTTTTGCAACCATTTAAGCCTGAGGTCAGAGAAGCAAGCCACCACCGTTGGGAGTAGCGGTCAACGGGTCGTACCCCAGTGGCCGATATCGCTCATCAAGCAGGCAGTATGCCTCTAGCAATCGTGTGTTGCACAAGGCCAGACGGTTCGAGACGGACACGTCACAATCCAGCCTGGAATGTCAGGCAGATGCACGAAATTACTGTTAAGCCGCGTGTCATCGACTGCATTCCGGGTGAAAAGGGAGTCAGGAAAAGGTAGGCACATACCCATCTTTATGCCGGAACTTGAAGAGTGGTACACGGGCGCGAGTGATCAGCTGGAACCTTTCAGCTGTCCCCCATCATTTGAGCCGGGTGAGAAGATAGAAGATATAGATGTGTCGACGCTTCGACTCAACAAGCTATGTAGCGACTCTGCGCAGGTCATACCAGAGCGAAAGGACTTTGCCAGACGCTTGACCGTGTCTTGCACCTCTACGGACAGGCATTGAGTCATCATGCAAAGGTCAGCAGACTGCAAGATGAGGTCCGTGACACGTGGCGCTGTAAACAAACTAGCAGCGTTGCTTTAGCATATAACATAAGGGTACCGAAACATACGAATCCTTCGCTTATTGTGCTCCAGAATGTACTAGCCACAGCACACCAGAAGGCCAGAAGGTCAGAATGATGAGGTATGGCGTGCAGGTAGACGAGTAAAAAACGGAACACCGTGGAATACTGCCATCTTCTTCACTCTGCCATTTGTAATAAAGCAAGCCCGGGCATGTTCTGCTACCTGAAGATGATCGTCGTTTTCGGCGCCCTTGTCGAGAAGCAGTGACATGGCCCTCAGCTGTCCTTGTATGCAGCCCTTGCGGGCAGCTAAATGAACCGCACCATCTCCAGCCTGAACAATATGGTGGGCAAAAGCAATCAGTTGTAAAGATTCAGACTCAGCAAGCATGCCGGGTATTTTTGGCCGCTCTTCTGTTTCTGCATCTTGGTGACCCACCGGTGTCTTGACATTGAGGTCAATGTCGGGAAAGGCTTTCAAAAGCCGGTCGATGCGATCCGCTTTGCCTGAACGAGCCACCTTCATCAGGAGAGTCATGTTGTCCTGGCGAAGACCAATCAACGATAAGTTGTCACGTTGCTCAAAGCCCCATTTTATGTAGAAGCTCTTACGTGACTAATTGCGTTGATGTCGCAGCCATGTTTTTTCAAGAATCGGATGGTTGAAACGTGAGAGCCAGCAAAGTGGATACAGCTTTCGCCACGCTAGAATGGCAGGCCTCACATCGAGGTACACAGTGAGAAAAGGCCTGCATATCGCAAATCCGCATTGGTGGAAAGGACAATCTGATAATTGCCGACAAGAAGCGGTTCACACTTGAGTCTAAGAGCTCACATGGTCAGGCACGGTCAACATAAACTTTAGGTCAGGCTCTTTTCCAAGCCATGCCTTCATCAAAGTGGTTTGCTTGGCCCGAGTCGCCGCGTGCCATAGTGTCTCTCCCGTCTGCGCAGGTCAACGCCCAGAGACCACGCAAGGTCAGTGCTATGAGGGCGGCGTTGTGGCCAGTCCGACAGTCAACAGAACGGACATGCTTTCAAGCGAGCACTTACGCTACGAATCTGTGAACGCAGGGCCAAGTCCAAGTCGGGAATACTTTGCGCCACTCCAATGGACTTTGGTGATTCAAGGATAGGCAAGAGGGCCTCGACCTCTGGTGACCAAGCATCAATCAAGTGCACACGTTCATCTACAGCTTGGCCTTCCGCCTCTTGCGCGAGTGCGGCAGCCATCGCACTGAAGGCCCCAAAAAAAAAAGAAAAAAAAATTTAATTATGAGAGAGAGAGAGAGAGAGAGAGAGAGAGAGAGATTTCAAATTTCAAAATTGCTTTTAACACACACACACACACACACACACACGCACACACACACATGGCGAGCTACGAGGCGCGGCAGGCGGTGCTGGTGGTGGGGGATGGCGACTTTAGCTTCTCACGGGGTTTGTTGGCGCATATGATGGCCAAGCGAACGGGTGGGAAAAGGGGGAAGAAGACGGCATCTGTTCGGTTGGTGGCAACCTCGTATGATAGCGAGGCGGTGGTTGCGGAAAAATATCCGACCAGTCGGCGCAACATTCGTGAGCTGACGGAGAATGGTCTGTTGTCCTGCGACACTTGCCCGCCACGCTGACCCATGCTGGCCCATGCTGGCTCGCGCAACCACTCACACACAGCCTGTCCTTTGTTGCTGCTGTTGTTGTTGTTGGCATTGCTGTCTTTGACCTGTGGTGGACGCGGCTTCTGGGGCATGCTATCCTTTCAGGAGTGAACGTGCGGCACGGCGTGGACGGGACCAACTTGGCCAAGAGCTTTGACATGAAGCGTGTGGCCTTTGACCGGATCATCTTCAATTTTCCTCACACTGGTCAACAGCGTGTGCACTTGAACCGGGCGCTGCTTGCCAAATTCTTCAAGTCGGCTGCCCTCTTGCTCAAGCGGCCTGCGGGCGAGATTCACGTCACCCTGAAACTCAAGTGTGTTGGGCGCTTGCCGACCGTGACGTGCCGTGCCTGCTGGAACGCACCCGGAGCTCTGCTTCAAAAGTCCGACTAAACTCACCAGCATCTCTTTTCTCGTTTTGTTCAGACCGCCGTACAGCAACTGGGGTGCCGACGACCTGGCAGCTGACGCCGGGCTCATCGAAAGCAACATGGTCCAGTTTGACCCTGCAGCCTTTCCTGGCTATGCACACCAGACCACACTCAAGGATGCTAAGAAGTTTGAGGCCTCCGCTGAGCGCGATGTGCGCCACTGCAAGGTACCCTCATCCGTCACGCTTCCTCCGGCTCGCGCCGCATCTTTCCTCACAATGCGTGACTCCCTGCATTGGAGCGCAGACCATCATTTTCCAACTGGCTGCCGAACTGGCTGCGCTCCCAGACGCTCGTCACCTGCAGCCATGGCAAATGCCCGCCCCCTCAAGCGAGCCACGAAGCGATGGTTCCCGAGGCTCAGGCCACGCCAAACGTTCCTCAAGCAAGCGACAAGAAACCTCTGCAATTAAGGGTGGCCCTGGCACCCAGAACTCAACCCCCAGACGCCCCAAAAAGGCCAAGCGCCGTGCCAAGGCCGCGCCATGATGTCTCAAAACGCCTACGACCAATCCCAATGCACCAAAAGCTCAACCTAGCACGTTGGTGTCCATATTCGCCACCTGCTGATTCAAGCCTTGACAGTTTTGCCCAGATTGACAATAAACTTTTTAAAGACGGCCTGTGTGTACCATGATCCGAGATCATCAGCATTTCGCTGTTGGCAAGCTGGTGTGCATGCGCGCGCGAGTATGGTGCCATACCTTGCCGTTTTGAAGGTTGAGGACCCGAATGCGCTCATTGGCCAGGTGTGCCCGATCAGATGCCTAAAGATCAACGAGGGCACAGACTTGAGCCTTTGTACTGAACGACCTTTTCGCCCGCAGCATGCTCGTGCTCAAATATTGAACAGTGTGACAGACATACCTGACCCACGGGGATTTGGATGGCTGCGGCGCCGAGCGCCTCCACCAAAAATGATGTGGTGTTGATGGTTCCGCCTGAGACAAAATTCAAGCATAATTTTACAGAAGCAAGTCAAGCTTGGTTTGCGCGTTTTGCATGACAACACCAGAAGCATTTTATCCAGCTAGAACCGGACGGGCAGGGGCAGATGATTGCAAATCATCTCCTACAACAACACGCAAAACTCTCGCCACGCACCTTCACCGACCAGGACCGGGGCTTGACCCCATACCTACACCCACGCGAAGCCACCGGTTCTCTGAGAAAGCAGCGGTGCGCTTCACAAAAGATGGCTTGTCGACCATCGATGCTCGAATATTACTGCACTGATCCTCATTGGAGAATGAAAGAAAGGTTAACGAACCTCTTCGATGGCTTCGGCGGCCGAACGATAATGAGAGCTTTCGACTTCTCCCAGCCACCAGGGTGATTGCTGCACGCACTCGACCTGCAACACATCGCCCCGTAAAAGTTGTCATCACGAAAAGTCTCGGTCTAGCTCCACGAACGATTCATTGGAGGCAGTACATGCCTTGAGGCTGTTGCCCGAGGCTAGCTTGTCAAACTCATAGCGCAAATGATCCTCCACCAACTTGACAATGTCGTCCGCCACCTGATCGGGGACGTAACGCACTGCAATCTATGCTCATCGTAGTGTCGATAAAAACCCCCCGCGACGTGCGCCAAACAAGTGACTCGGTGACAATGTCATACACATTTTGTAACAAGGACAAAAAACAAGCCCGAAACCCCCACCCTCGTACCTGGGTGCTCGCGCGTCCGGGCAGCACGCTGAAAGACTGATCGACGTTGCTTGTGGTGAAGGCAGTGACCGTAAGACAAGGTTGGCGCCATCGTGCCCTGCAAGCAAGTTGCAAGATGAGCTCAAATAACAGTTGATCCAAAAAACAACCTCACAAGACACAACACTGTAAATGGGAGTACAACCCGCGAATCACACGCGCAACACTGACATGAGAAGTGCATCGCCGTCCTGCGACACAACAGCAGGGTTGCCTGATTGTTGCTGGTACTGCTCGCTGCTCAAATTGACCTATACGCAGGTGCACAGACATACCAAGTGAGCCATCCGACTTGCAATACGCGTCAACGAAACTCAAAGACCAATAACTCCCACCTTTCGAAGGTGTTGCAACTCGGCTTCGGAGAGTGGGCGAACGTTGTCATAAAAGCTGAGTGAAGACGCACGGAGGTTGGCCAGGACATCAAATCATTGTGAGTGTGATAAGCAATAATACGCCCTCGGGACCACTTGCTACTCTCGAAAAACCGCGAGACACCGAACCGTGGGATAGTCACACGACCCGTGCTATCGGTGAGAGTCGCCACAACTCGGCATAGGTCAACAAGAGGCTGACGGACAGCCCCGCCGTCCACACCAGAGTGCAAGTTGTCACTGCCAAAAGAGGTCCGTATGAGCTTGAGTCGGACGTCAAAAAAAAAAAACAGACAGACAGAAAGATAGAGGTCAGGATCATGAAAATCCCGTTGTGCTGTCACCTGGGCCCAGACACGATGGCCTCTAGCTTGACCAAGCCGCGCATGCTGTAGTTCAGACAGGGTCGCTCATCATCAATCCAGTAACTATTGCTGACCACGATCAAGTCAATATCTGCGCTCCCAAGGGTGCCATCACCAGCAAAAGCGGCCCGACTAATTAGCACGACACAAGCGCGCGCCTTTGGTAGTGGAAGCCAACCAGTAGCAACCTAACAGGTGAGATGGCAGAAGCATACCAGGGAGCCAGTTGGCCTTGAGTCGCTCATCCTGCAAGATTTCGTTGACGGCTTCTCGAAAACCCTGGCTCTTGTTTTCGGCTTCGCCCTCCAACAAAAAGTATACATTCACGTCAAGACGGTCGACAGCCTGTGGCCGTAGGACACATGTGACAGCAATTGATGGATAAGAGATGACGGGCGATGAAACTCATGCCTGCAATGTCACAAGACAAACCTGCAGCTCGGCCAACGCCGTGGCAAATGCAAGAATTGGCCCCTTGTCGTCGCTGGAGCCGCGGCCATAGAGGTATCCAGAATGACCTTCTAGTTTCCAAGGGTTGGTTCTCCAGTCAGGCTACAAGCAAAGCACAGCAGGTCAGGCAAACGGCGAGAAAGATGGTCGTTCCGCACGCCAGCATAAAAATATGGCCGTCAAGCCAAGGTGTCGCACCTCGTCAGCAGGCATCACATCGTAATGTCCGTAGAGCAATATATTGGGACGGCCTGGCCGATGCGGTGTACGCCCGACGACCAGAGGATTGTGGTGGTTGGTAGCAATCTACCCACCCACATTAGCCGGTTATGAGCGTCAGCGCTGTGTGAAAAGCATGTTCTGAAGCCCCAGCGTGAGACGCCGAGACGGAAACTATGCTACATCAATAAAAACGGACCAGCGCTGTGTCTTCGCAGCAGAGCTGGAGCAGTTGCTCGCTCAGCACTTGTGCAGCCTCGTAGCAGGCAGCCTCAAAGCGTTTGATGCCCGACACCTGTAAAGACACGGCACTAAGAAGGGCGACGGAAGGCAGGCAGATTGGTCCTATCACGATGGGGGCATGTCCCGGGCACATACGGATGCAATGCCAACGAGCTGAGCTAGAAGGGGCACAAGATCAATCTGCGCGCCGTCAGTGTCCAAGGAAGTGGCCGCTCCAATTCGCTCCCGTGGTAAGACGCAGCTTTGTGCTCCCTTGCAATCAAATACCCCAGCCCGGTGGCCAGCAGCCCCAAGAATACGGTCGTTGAGCAGACTGAGGGCTACGAGGGGTGCTTGCAAGGCCTTGCTGGTGCCCACACGTTGCAAATCCGTGCATCGATACACCAGCATGGTTCCCGATGACGTTCCGCTGCGCCGCGCATCCCGTGACAGTACACACAGTGGAAAGAGAGCATGAGCGACAAGAGCTGCAAGCACAGCAGACCAAGGGGGAGGGAGGGAGGTCCATGTTGCAGAGTGAACCAACCAGTAAAGTAAACCGCAGTCGGTTGTGAGTGACAACACCTCAAGTCCGCTCGTCACAACTTGTTGCTCTCGCAAGCAAAAGTGTGTGTAGTCCCATGCCCGGACTGAACCGTCCCTGCAGATCGAAGAAATGTTGAGACGAGCAGCACCACTGATGTGCTCAGATCCAAGTGGCTGGCGGGTTGGCGTGAAAAGCTGGAGGCAAAGCCATACCGGGAGCAAGAAAAGAGAGTGGCAGTCTGGTGGCAGTAAGCCAGACTCATGACGGAGCCTGAGTGGCCCTGAAGGGTGGCTGTAGCCGCGCAAGTATCAACATCCCAGACCTATGCACAGCCAAGAGGGGAGGATGCGCTGAGATATTTGTCGATGCGATGTGAAGTATCCAAGAACCAAGGCCCGTGGTTTAGTATTACCTTGATCAAGCCGTCGCCAGCGCCCGAAACAAGCTGATGGCCCACCGCGAGCAGCGCATGGATGTCGCTAAAAAACAAACGCCCAGGTCGAAAAGTTCCAAAGGTGGCGCATGAGAAGAGGAGACAAGAACATGGGCGTAGTGGGAATGAGCGGATGAAACTGTCATTTTGACAGCGGTTTGCTTTTGCCACAGTGCAAGGTGAAGAGTGCTAACCCTACCTGTAGTGACGATCGAGTGCAGTTGGTTGATAAAGGCGACTCAAAACGCATTTTGGACCATTGGCGCTTCGTTCAGGAAGGACGCAATCGGAGGGTGTCCAAAACCGCGCGGAACTAGTGGGTGTATTGCTACATGTTGAGGCTGATGCGCAACCTTCAAAACATGTGTATGAAACGGGTGCTGCCATTTCCGCCCGAGGAGTAGTGGGCTCTGCCATGGCATCTTGCCAGCGAAGAATGCGGATGGTGGTGTCCGTGTGACCCAGATAGAGGCGCTCATTGTGATAGGTCATGGTCAAGACGTTCCCCAGACCCAGCAGCGTGTATGTTCGTAAGATCTGGTGTGGACTCTCGCTTTGAACCAGGGCCAGTGTACTATCGGCAAATGACCTATAAAAAGTGCGAACGTGCCAGCAAGCGGAGAAGTCTGGGCATCAGTTGCCTAGCTTTGCCAAGGGCATGGGAAGAGATTGACAAGGTTCTACAGATCTGACTCACGCCATGACGGCGCTATGCTGAGCGACGTGTTGTAGGCTCAAAATGGCCGCGTTTGAAAGACGCAACTCGTGGTCTTTGGTAAACGACGTTAGCGACCAGATGGTGGCAGATCCGTCAGCAGCGCCCGTCATCAGCTGACCGGTCCCAAAGGTACACAAGCATAGAACGGCTGCTGCATCTTCCAGCTGATGCAACAGGGGCAGATCTACGCGCATGGCTTGTTGGCTGAGGTTCCGACTCAATCGTGATTGGATGACAGCTTGGTCCGGCGCTGAAGAAAGGGTTGGGGCTGCAGCGGCTGAACTGGTTGGAGAGATGGAGGAAGGTGCACGCCCACCACAACTCCCGTCCGTGATGCGCCCGGAAACCGGTGGCGAGGCGATCTCGACCGGCGTGGTGAGACCTGACACGGAGGCAGGAGCCACACGGACGTTGGCCAAGCGATCTATCAACATGCGCCAAGGAAACAGAGTGAGCTACCTGGAGCTTTGTTAGCCGGAATAGAAACACAGAGCCAGCAGGAGATATCAATATCGACAGGGCAAGGCAGTAGCATGCACGACACCTTGCAGCGCATTGAGCGTGTATTCAAGGTCGCTAGACACGGTGAGGCCACTGATGGGGCACAGAAAAGTGTGAATGTCCTCAGTGACAACCAGGCAGTGATTGGCTGGCACGGAGATCCTGTCCAAATTTAGATGACAGAATGAGTCAAGAGTTGAGGCCCGGTAACGCGAGGGGCAGCGCGAGGGGCAGCGCGAGGGGCAGCGCTCCTCGTCCTGCAATGAGAAAGAAAGCTTAATGGGCATACCAGTCCGTCACATCGTTGGTCAAGGGTTCCGATGTAACAATGACAAGTTTGTTCCGCTTGTCCGAATGGGTCATGCGATACTGGCCCTTTTGCTCTGGGGGCGGCGGTGAATTGGTAGACGGACGGTCAGACCATTCATGACACGTGTGGGGCGGCGTAGGAAGAGAGCCACCAAACTTACCATCGGTACAAAAGAAGCGCGTGCCGGCCGCATAGTACAGTGTTGCGGGGCCAGGCTGCGACCACAAGTTGGCGCAGAGGCAAGTGAGTCGGCGCGATACCGCGAGGCTGGGCCAAGCTTGAGTGCTGAGAACACTTCTTTTACCTGTGTATTGTGGGGATCGCGTAGGAATCGTGTAGCAGCCTACCAAAGGTCGTTGACAACCGAGGCGCAAGTTGTCACGTCAGCCGACTCGTTCGACAGACAAGCTAGGAAAAAAACACAAATGCAGGTGGGTGTGGGAAAGGCTAAAAATTACCAAGCTGACGCCATCGGACACTACAAAGTTGAGCATGGACATGTCTGCTATCCCCAACTGGTCGGCCGCTTCGGACAGGATGTGAATAACCTAGATCAGCCGGGCGTGCCCACGACCGTGTGACATGAGCTGCTAACGTATGTTGCGCTGCACGACTGGGATCATCGTTATTGTCTGCTTGTCTACCTGAATGAGGTGGGCGTGCATGATGGCCGGAGGGAGGGGCGCATCATAACGTTCCAGTAGATTGAGGAAGAGCGCAAAGCAAAAAGCGCTGTCGGAACCACCCTGCACCATGACAAATAGACGTGAGAGAACCATGCGCTGATGCCCAAGACTAGCCGGACGGCGGGGCGTTGAGCAGGTTTAATTTTCACGAACACGATCGGCGGCATAATCAAAGAGGTGGGGCTTGAGCTGAGGCATGAGGTGCCGACGAACACGATGAAAGGCACCGACGTTGCCATTGTGCATGAAGATAAAACGACCATAGCTAAAAGGATGGCAGCTGATGGTAGAGAGCGCACACATTGGCCTTGACGTCAAAAGATGTGCGGCAGCCTGAGGTAAAAGAAGGGAAGGGAAGCTGGAATGCGGCAGAGGCTGACAGACCAGGATTCAGAGACGGCTGTGCCTTCGGTGGCAGCGCGGACATGGGCGAAGACGATGCGTGATACAATGTTATTGCTCAGCTGGCGCAAGTTGGTGTTGTTCCAAGCAGGCCCGATGCTGGTCAAAGGAGAAGAGGCGGGCGAGGTGGGTGAGGGCATCAACAGAGAAGAGCACATGACAAGTAGAATAATACATAACAGTCCAGGGGCATAGCTCGGTGAAAGATGAGGGCTGGTCGGGCTGCCGATGAGGCGGAGCCGGACCTGGTGTAAACGCATGGCTCACTCTCATTCATCTTGACATCGAGGGCCGTATTGGGCGGTGGATACCTGTATGACAGGACAAGAGATGGTGCAAGACAGGCCCATTAATCATCAGGCGCGAGATACCACCATGGTGCTTGAGACGCTATGAAATGGGAGGCGAGCCGCACAAGCATCAAACCCGCACCAGCCCAAACCATGTCCGTCGCCATTGAGATAGCCACGCTCAGTCACGCGTTCACGGGCGGAAAAACTTTGCTTCACAATCGACCGATCTGGCCGAGTCACCAGATCGGCTGCCACGACAGGTGGCCCAATATAAGCCGTCAACCGACACATGGTGTGCAATGCTCACACCAACACCAACACCAACGAGGACCGGTTCACTTCCTCCGTCCGTCCGTCCGGCGCCCCCGTCAACTTGTCGATGAAAGAAAAATGAAAAAAAAAAAATTTGGTGAGCTGAGAAGACACGAAAACTCTGACAATTGGCACTGTCTGACAATAATCGTCTGTCTGACAATAATCGTCTGACGTTTTGTCGCGATCGACTGGCGGGGGGCGCTCCTTGGCTCGTCGTGTTTGGAAGCTGTGCATGCTCTGAGTCGGGTTAGGGGGAGGTTGGGGGGGGCGGGGGACTCGCGTTTAACAGGTGTGACGGTGATCATGCAGGCCTCGCAGTTTGATGTCGTGTATCGAGGGGCAAAGGACATTGAGCAGGCCAAGCGGCACGATTTGAGTGCAAACAATGCGGCCATCAAGACCATCCTGGACCAAGGCGAGCGCGAGCCCATGCGCGTAGTGATCCAGCCGGGTGGGATTCGCGGCACTCACCCCGGCGGTCGCGTGCAATTTGAGGCCAATATCAATAATGTCCTCCTTGCTGGCAACCGGGCCAACTTCTTGTGAGTCCTCTGCGCGAGATCGTCCGTTCATGCATCGATCCCGAAATGAGAATGAGTATTTTTGAAGGCGAAAAAAGAACCCCAACCCGCCCCCACCTCACCCCCTATCGTGATGATTTGACGCGACGTTCTAGTGTCGTGCTGCTGCGCAACTCAGTGTCGGGCTCACGACAAGAAGGCTCACACACCGTCCACTTGCTGGAGGGTCAACACGCTGAGGTTTGCCAACGATTTTCGCCGTCTACGCCTTGCATCAACCCCATTTTGGTTCCGCCCCCCCTCGTTTCCACCCCCTCACGCCCCCACTTGTGACTCATCGCTGGACCACTCGTGCACTGCACAGGAAGCAACTGAAATGTGTGACCTGCTCAATAAGGTATGCCCTCGCCAATCTTCCCGCCCCTGCATGACCAAGGCATTTAGATTGGCTGACCCACACACGTGCGCTTGGGGGGGGATGGCATGCCTTAGTACTGCCGAGACTTTGTGAACAAGCTCAAAGGCAAGGAGTGCGCTATCCCCGGCCCATCGTAATTGGAGCACAGCTCCTCACTCACCCGTCAAACACTGCTTCCCCTTTGGCCTCTTGCAGGCCTGCGGCGCAATTCCAGCTCCTCGTCTGCCCCTTCTGAACCACAAGCTATTCCCATCGAGTACAAGGTTCCCACTCGGCTCGCCGAGCCACGCAAAGATGCCAAAGTACAAGGTAGCGTCTGCAGTGCTGCTTTTTTTTTTTCATCCCCCTAAGCATGGTTCGGTTTGAGGACTATGCTTCAACGTGTTGGCTCACACCAGTGACCTGCTTCTTTTTTTTTTTTTTTTTTTGCTGCACAGCAGCCACAACCGCCGAGCCGGATGAGTATGAAGCGGTACGGTGCTGAATCAAATGACCTAGACGCTCGGTTCCGCAGCTCGTGTCTTACTCGTTATCCAAACCCTGCGCTTCAACGACCGTAGCAAGCGTTTACAGCGTACGAATACACGCCCCCGGTATACAACGGAGTAAGTCACGGAATCTTGCACCCAGGGTGAGCCGCATGTGGCTGCACATGCTCATTGCATCATTTGATTGTTGTTTGTGTTGCTTTTTGGGCAGCGGGTGAGCGTCTCGGCCCAAGGGCAGCTTTTTGCCGTTGAACGGGCCCGTCGACGACCTTCAGGTCAATACGGACCTCAACATCTGCCACCAAGCGACTGAGGTTTGATAGAGCGTCTTTCGCTTGCTCTTAAACAGACTGGCGCTGCTCGCTGCGCCCGAGATGGCTAACAAAGTTATAATAGACAATGTCATGATGTTGCAATGAAGCATGGTCTTGGGAAGGAAAAGAACGTGTCAATTTGTGCGGGCGCGCGTCCACGCCGCGGGCGGAGAAGCGCGCACCGCTGGATAAAACTAAATGGCTCACCGAAGCATGATGTCAAAGTCGTGCGACGCGAGGGGACAGCCCAGAAACGGGCAAACCCATCACAATCAAAACAGCAATGGCAGGCACAAGCACGGTAAATCGAAAACAGGCGGCAAGTCAAACGGAGAGATGGTGGAACAACAACTCAAGAGAAGCAGGGGACAGGACGACGGGACGGGTGATTGATTCACTTTGCCCGCCGCTTGGCATCTTCCTCTTGTAAACGGCGGCCCTCTTCCTCGAGTTTTTTGTAGTTCTAGAGTACCCAATCCAAAAGCGGCAAATGAACCAGAAAGCTGGAACGATACAGGCACCAACGGGAGAAAGCATGACGAGAGCGGCCGCACCTCTTTGAGGTTACGCATAAAGCTGTTGCCAAAGGTTGATGCGCGCTTGGAGTGCGTGTCCATCTATAGGACAGGGCGGGATACGTTGTGGGCAGGCGATGACATCAGGAAGGTGGAAGATGCAAACACTATGAAGCTTCTACATTCAACCAAACGGGATGTGGAGCTGCCTCATACCGTGGTCTTGAGCTGGGCCGCAAATTCGCTCTTCTCAAGCTCAGCCGCACGCTTGGATCCTACTCGTCACCACAATACAGAATGAGATGAAGCTGGAACACGAGGCATGTTGAGATGCGTGTCAGGGTGTTTTCTTGACGGGTTCTGGAGGTGAGCGGACCTTCTTCGCTCATTCGAGTCACATGTTTGTGGGTGGTCTGGGCAAAGCGCTGGAACCAGGGCGCCCGTGCAAGCTGCGCCGCGCCCAAAAAAAAAAGGTGGCGGGTGAGGTTGGCAAGGACGCCGGGGTCGTAATGACGGTGCGTGCGGTTCGGCTTGAGGTGGCAGACACGACACGAACCGATTTCGTGACGATTTCGTTGGCAAGCCACGAGGCCACGCGTTGAAACATGTTCGCCATGGCAGCAGGTGTAGAGGCCAAAAGACGAGCCAAAACTATGTGTACGCCCGCCCGTGGACCAAGGTACACGCGTCAAGTACCAGGATGAGCTGTCGACAAAGCCATCACTCAAGGGTCAATCCAGCATGTGAAAAAAACCGGCAGACAAGCCACGCGCCCGTCGTCAAAAACAAACACACCCCTGGCTCAAACCAACAAAGTCAAGACGGCAGAGAGAGAGAGAAAGAGAGGTGTGGGGGGGGGCAGGCAACAAGGCCGACGAGCCAAGCCAGAACGAAAGGGAAGCCGACCGGGCCGAGCAGCACACACAACGCCAGACACACGACACGCCACGACACGCCACGACACGACACGGGGCAGCCCCGGAACGGACCTCTACGGAGGAAGGATTAACATGTAAATTAATCAAACACGGGCGCTGTTTGCTGTGCAAGCAGCACGAAATGGCGCTGCGCAGGCCAGAGATGGGCAGTTGGTGGCGCTTCGGGTGAAGAGAGGGAGAAGATACGAGTTGAAAAGATAATGGCTACGACAAGGGGAATCAGAGACTGTGACTGAATCGGAAGTAGGAGGCAGGGGTGGACGTAGTCGACGGCAACTTCAAAGCGTGTGTGGTGTTCCTTTTCCTGCGAGCTCAGGATCTTCTAGTCTCCTCTCTCAGTCTCCCAGTCTCTCAGTCTCCCAGTCTCCCAGTGCTCCCAGTCTCCCAGTCTTTCAGTCTCTCTTCTTGTCTCTCAGATCCCGCTTGATGAGCGTCCCACAAATCCCATGAAATGCTTGAAAAAAAGTTCACTCTTCTCTCTCTCTCTCTTAATTCTGTTTCCTGTTGTGACATGTGTGGTAGTTGTGCTACTTTTGCTCTCTCTCTATTCCTCTGTGCCTTTGCTGTTTACATGTGTGTTTGGAATAGCTGCAGAGGGAGGAGATGAGAATGGAGCAGATGACGAAAGGCGTTTATTGCCTTTTACCTATTCCAGAACGGATATCAGAGAAAATTTGAAGAGAGAATCGGTTTGAATCAGATTGCACAAGAAGCTCCCACAAAAACACACGTACCTTTCTCTTTCAATTCACTCTCTCATTTTTTCTCTCTCATTTTCTCTCTCTCTCTCTCTCCGCGACGTCATGTTCTGCGACATCATGTGGCTGGTCTCTGCGGTAGCGCTGGTCGTGGTCGTCTTCGGGACGGCCACGACGGCGCAACAGCCGCAGGAGCCTGTCAGCATTAGCTGGCTCCCGCTTCCACCCACGGCTCCGTCGACCGAGCCCGGGGCGTGTAGCTCAGCGGTGAACCCGAGGTACACGGGCTGCCTCACGCCTGGCCGTGGGGATGGACTGCACATGCGCAGTTTCACCTGGGATGGCAACCATGTCTTAGTTGGCGTCACCATGGCTGGCTCCCCTGCTCCCCCAAGCCCGGGCAGCAATCTTGACGGTCCCCAGCTCATCCTCATCAAGACGGACGGCACGACCTTTAGCAACGGGGATGCGTGGAAGTGCTTGACCTGCGGTGTGCCGTCCTCTAACCGAGTTGGGGCTGACCTGATTGACGACGCTTGCACCCCCAACGCCACGCACATTTACGCCATCCAGTCGCCGTTCCCTGCCTATCCGGCCGGCGGTTTGATGCGTGAGTTGCGGCTGCACCCTGACAACGTGCACCTTGGCTGGAGTCAGCTGTTGCTGGCCGACCAAGAAGTGATGGAATACAGCGTGTTTGGGCGACTCACCTTTGACGCGGCGGCCGTGCCACCGGTCTACAAGGTCAGTCACGTCAACTTCTTGCTCAGCCCCAATCCACACCACTTGGGCCGGATGATCAGCATCAAAAGCACGCCCAACGGATCCGTGCCCGGCGAGTTGAGTTTTGGCCCAGCTTTTGGCGTCATTGGCGAGCTGCGTGGGTTCACGAGTGACGGTGGCGAGGCCTTGGGCATTGGCACCTTTGACTCTTTCAACTATGACATTTTCGCCACCAACCTGCACGACGGCACCTCCCGCCGGCTCACGGTGGACCCAGCATACACTGACCCGGTCGTGATGTCACCCGATGACTCGTCCTTTGTCATCATGGACGGGCGCGTCAACGACCGCACGGGCCTGCCCGGTGGGTTTCCTCAAGGCGAGGACGGCCGCATGTACTTTGCCAGTGCCGCACCCGGCGTGCCTCCCCTGATTGACCTCGCCATTTCCAGTGCCGCGTCCAACCTGTACAACCTCCAATACGGGTCACCCGGTCCCACCAACCCTCGGGTGGAGCCGACGGACTTGACGGGCGGCCGGCGCTACTTCCAGCCGTACATCTTGAACCTCACCGGCGACGGTCCGTCCACTTCTTTGCACGACGGCCAGCAGCTCAATGCCGGTGCTGACGCCACGCCTGGCAGTGGCAGCTTCAGCGACCCGTTGTGGAACGGAGGCGCAGACGCTGCTTGGTCTCCAGACGGTACGGCCATTGCGTTCTACCAACTGCTGGTGGCGCCGCCGGCATGCAACGACAGTGACGCCAGGCTGCCGCCTTGCCCAACGTCGCGCGAGCCTGGCGGCAGATTCACGAGGGTCATGCTGGCCAAGTTGACGTCCCGCACTCCCAAGTTGCCGCCTCCGCAGCCTGCGCCAGTTAGTGACATCATTCCGTGGGGCACGCCCTGGAAGCAGGGTGACCCCTTTCCCGCACCTCTCAACGTGCCATCGGGGTCGTACGTGCTTCGCGGTGAATCCGGCTCGGCCACAGTAGAGCTTGAGGCTCAGTCATCTGCTTTTGGGGGCAACCGCATAACGGCCGTCAACGTGACCTACCACCACTTCAGCGCTGACGGCATCAACTTTGTGGACGGCGCCGAGAGGGCTGTTTGCGGCAGCAACCCGACCAGTTTTGCCTGGCACGAGAACTTGACGCTCTCCGGAAAACATACCGGCTCGAGAACCACGAGCCCCAACGGCTTTGTGGTCACGAGCCCGGGGCTTTCTCAGCCGCCCTTGATCACCGGCACGCTGACCACCACGCTCGACGGCCTGACGTTCACTTCGCCCGAACAGTAAGGATTATTGGAGTGCAAGCATCGATCACCTGCACGTAACTCCTTGAAAGATTGCATAACTGCACTCGACAATGCGCGCGTGCCGCTGCCCGTCGAGGAACCCCTCTCGTACACTCTGTGGATATGTTTAGCTACCGGATGATAGGTACGGTCCCGCTGACCGTGTTTCTTTAAGATATTTCCCTTCCTGTTTCTGTCGTTCTCTCCAGTGAGAGAAGTGCAATTGAACCGCTTCACTGGTCAGCTCAAATCGTCTCTCAATAAGGATCATCAAGCAAGTGAGAAAAGTTGGTGCAGTTGGAGACAGAGAAAAGCTGACACAGGCACGACTGTGTCCCACGCATGTTGTGGTGGTGCGTCTGCAACAAAATAATATTCTTCTTCACTGCAACAAGTGCATTTTCCAATTTTTTTATTCCCATCTGACATTTGACCCCCCTCGGACGATGCACGACCAAAATTCTCCATGTCAGAAGGACTGTCTACGTCCACTCCTCAGAAAGCCCAATCCCATCTGAATTGGGTGCCACAGGCACCATTTGCTTTAGCGGCTCGAGGCCTCACTCACTCACTTAATCACTCACGCACGCACGTACGCACGCACGTACGCACGCACGCGCTCGCGCAAGCTGGAAGATGCAGAGAAATGGGCGGACGGACATCAATACCAATTGACCCTTCCCTCCCACCTCTCACCTCCCACCCAAAGTACTCAAAAGCTGGACGAGGCTTGGTTGACCAGTGCCAACAGCTCCATGAGCATCCCAGGCGTGACGACTATTCCATGCTGCCACAGCTTGGGAAGCATTGAGACGGAAACGTCAACGTTTGGATATTTCAACTAAAAACAAACAAGTCGAGCCAGTTGGAGGAAGAGCCTCGACGATCCAAGCGCCGATCCGCCATCCTCAAGCCGCTTCGACGCTCGCGCGCACGGGAACGCACGTGTCCCTGAATGAATACGAAAAGGTTACCGGCCAGTACGCCAGGCCCCGATGACCACGCTCGAGCAGCATGCCATAGTCCCTAATTCCGACGCAAAAAGGTTGCCCGCAATGCACTGCCCAGCAGCGCTCATAGCACAATCTTCTCCTTGATCTTGGACATGGGAATCGAGCAAGCTCAGTCGTACGCGCTTGGTGCCATGCCCTGTCTAAGCCTTGGCAGGCCGCTTGCTGCGCTTGGGTGATGGAGACGGGGTGTCTTGCGCCGTATCCTCGGCTGTCTGCTCATCCATGACCTTGGCCTCACAGTGCTTCGACTTGCTAGCAGCGTTGGATCCCCGTTTACCCGAGCTGTGAACGGGTAGCGCAGGCGAATCTGTGTACGAACAGCGGAGCCGGAGGTGTCATGCAACGTGAACTGTTGAGCGGTATCCGTTACCCTGCCTACATCTCACATGAAACCCGAACCGACCGCAAACCCCAACACGTAGCAGGCAGCCACATACCATGGTGGGGTGCGTCGAAAGCCGTGGACACCCTCGATGTCGTGCGCGAGTCACTGGCCGAACCCCTACGCGCCGCAAAACCGAGTCGTCCAGAACCAAGAGCAATGAGAGACTACCTTGCCGGTGGGCATCAAGATTCACGAGTGCAAAACACGCGCACGCAAGCGCACCTGGACGAGTTCCGATCAGACTCCTGAGCCAGCAGGCGCTGAGACGGACTACGAGGGGTTTGAACTGCAGGCGCATGCTCCAGCCCCATCAGCTTCCGACATGCCTCGAGGGGCTGCTGCAGGGACATGAGACGCTCAAGCATGGCCTCATAGGCAGCATGCTCCTTCTTCTTCTCTTTGCGATAGTAAGCAGAATTCAGTCTACATGCGTGCAACAAGCAAGATGAGATGATGAACGAGTTGGCAACTTGCAACAGCCGTCATCAATGAACCAGCTGACACCACAGTGAAAGCGTGCAGCCTGAACAGCACAGCCCGGAATGAACCACACAGCCAACGCGCAATTAGACAGAACAAGCGGAGAACATCATGTCAGGACAGGAATCAGCTGGAATTAATCCCCCCTTGACCCATCACAAGACATAATTTTCTGACAATTTATGGCCAATTTCATTTGGTTTTCACAAGTGTGGTCGCGTCAGCAATTTGCAAATCAAGGCTAACATCAATCACAAAAATCAAAACAGGGCGGCCGAGCAGCCCTGCCGGAATATATGCGGGCATCCCCACAACATGATCCCAACCAATGGTCAAACGAGAAGCAAATACGAATATCAACAGGCACAGCACGACATTCCACGCCAGCGCAAAACCAGTCGCACTTGCACTTGCACGCAACACTACACCCAACCCAAAGAGGCGACCCAAGTTGTGTAACCCCAAGCCCTTCCCACCCTAGAGTTGGTCCATCATCTGTTGAAGGAGCCGAATGCGCGACGACCAACACCCCTTACCTGTTGCGCTCTCGCGACACCGCTTGCTTTTGCCGCGGAGGAAGTGAGTCAAAGTTCTCCGGCAAAAACTCTTTGGAGGTCTGCAGGGCTGGCCGTGTGTAGGGTGCTGAGTAAGGCGCGCTGAGCCACGCATGGTCCGCCTATGACAGTGCGCGAAGGAACCCGTGGTTGGCAAAAAACCATAAAGCACCACGCAGGTCATCAACAACAGCCATGAGACCCAACAGCACGCAATATCTACGGGAACGCGCATGTGAGGCAAACCTTGCTGAGATCATTCAACAACTTTTTCAGCTGCTGCGCGCGATCAAGGTCGGCGTCCGTAGCCCCTTCGTGCTTCGGAGTCACGTTGCTGGCCTCCTAAGCAACAGACAAACATAGCACGTAGCACAAGGCGTCGTCAGTAGTCATGGGATATGCCTTGCGACCATGTGGTCCTTGGGGTTGAGACTGTGAAAGCAGATGGACGCACTAAAGCCCGAGCGTAAGTGTGGGACAAGTCCTCAAACAATTGGCGAGTGCTCTGTTTCATGTCACTGAGCTCCTTCTTCTTCATCTGACGATATTGGATACTCTTGAGACGATTCCGCTCAAAACGCATCTTTCGGTCAGTCACATCTGAGCACGAAATCGATGCGAGCATGAGACCATTGAAACTTGACGCAGAGACATGAACTGATGCCCGAGCTGCCCATGCAGCGATGCAAGCTCAGCATGAAGGTTGTAGTTGAGCTCCAGCCCAACAACCGGCAAGACGGCACAGCGCAAGGTGCTGAGGCTTGATGTGATTTACCTCCTTCTAAACGAGCCCCGCCGTTGGCATCAATGCTCTGTTCTTGCGAGGCTTGGCTTGTTGAGGGAACGGCAAGGCTCGCCAGGCTGGGCTGACGCTGTCCACCCATTGACTCAAAAGAGGTGGCCATGGGCCCATTCGCCATGCTTCTGGTCGGGTTCATCATTGCGGTTGAACTCAAATTGGCCATGTACGCCATCATGGCTGGCGACTGCAGCATCTCATGTGACATCATGGCCATAAAGGGGTTGAACCCAGGTATGCTATTTTCAGTTTGAAGAAGCAGATTTCATTGACGATGAACAAAGCGTGTGAAATGATGTGACCCAGTCTTGGTACGTCGCCCAGAAACGCTCAAAAAGATTTTTGTGCCCAACGCTGGGAAAGTGAAAGCAAGAATGGTTCAGTGGCCCAGGCCGTCACTGGTACGTACAACGGCATTTGCCCCTGTGCTTGCGGCGCGAAAAAAGGCGTCGGCATCTGCATCTGCACGTGACAAAGGAACGGGAGTCTTGATGAGATGCAAAGAAGAGCATGCCGAGCACGCAGCAACTGCAAAATTTGCAGGGTATGTAATTTTGAACTGCTAGCTTGCATACCCACTGACCATCGGCTGGTACATGTACGGGGTGGCATTGACGCTGCCCATCGACCCAGCTTGGCCCGCCCCAACAGAATTGGGACCCAAACTTGCAAGAGAGACGCCCAACGCCATGGAGGGACCGAACGAAGAAGTAGTGCTGACAGGCAAGGGCGTGCCATTACTAGAGTTCGGTGGCAAAGCCATGGCGTTGACGTTTGATTCCCTTTGACTCGAGCTGAGCACGGGAGGCAGAGCCAGCGCTGAACTTGACTGATCCGTGGAGCGGGGTCAGGTGGTTGTTGAGACCGGGAATGTGTGAAATACCTCACGCGCACGAACCAGCATCCCACATTGTCGTGGTATGGGTACTGTGCGTGGCACTAGGCCTACCGTGCAAGCCAGCTTCAAGGCGTGCTCGGGCTATGAACAACAGACCGGAGACTGAGCCACGCCAATATCAGCCGCAGGCCCTCTGACTCGGCTATTACAATCCCGTTCTTTGAAGCAAGCGCAAGCACCGTTGCTGCTGCGGAGCGCAAGCCAAGGCTTTCGAGGCTCCGGTGGAGATACACTTGCTGCAATGGTGCCCGGCAGGTGGGTACCAGACAGCGTTTAACGTGTAGATGTTGTTAAAGAACTGACGAATCGTGCCTGGAGAGCATCCAGGTTGAGGGTCAGGCCCAATGGTTGGGCCCGTACTGGTGCAAACTAACGAGGAAGCAAACAGTTGAGAAAATGAGCATAAATGAGTGCATCGCGGGTTTGGGGGGAAGAAAGGGGGCGCTCCAAAGAGCAGCTCTTTCGTGCAACTGGGCTGACAAGTAGGACTGGATGATGCATTGTGTAGGTGGACAAAAGGAAAAGGGGCGAAGCAGTTGGGTCGACGCACACCATAAGGCAGGGATGAGAAAGCAAGCAAGCGAAGGCAGAGGACTGCACAGAACGAAGAAGTGCTGTATTAGGTCTGAGGTACGCGAAACTGATGCCGTTGCAACGGGACGAGCGAATGTGGGAATGTGCGCACATGCGAGGATGGTTGGGGCCAGTGTGGTGTACCAATAAGAGCCGGAATCAAGGAGTAAAGAGCGGTAGAGTCAAGCAATACTGCCGAGGACAACGCCACTCGGAATTGACAGACGACAGCCAAGCCCTAAACCAAGACTGGATGCCTGAACCACAGTGGATCGTCGGCACCATCCTGTCTCTTGTGCTAATTCGTTGTGATTGGTCGAACGAGTGTGGGAAGCACAGCTGTACATACACGAATCAGCTTCACATTCGCAGGATGATCATGGGTAAAAGACAGAAAAGTTCAAAGCTCGCTGCCGTCAAGCACCTGCAAACAGACAATGGGACAGGCAACAAAACCGCTTTGATAGTGAGACCAATTGTACGGGTGCGCATGTCTGATAGCTGAATGACCCTGTTTTCTTTCTTTGGTTGTCCACTGGGCACACACACGCGCACACGCTCGCTCGCTCGTCGTCTCTCCACACTGGGTAGTGGGGCAGGACACTTGGAGGTACGCATAGCGGCAGCCAGCAGAGGAAGGCAACGAAGGAAGAAGGAAGGAAGGAAAAGGAAACGAGTCACTGGGTGTGGGGAAGAAATCACAAATCTACTCGGGACGTACGAGGTTGGGGGCGTCAGATGGGGGGACGGCGGTTGCGAATGGGTTGGCCTGAAATGGGCCAAAGAAGCTTGAAAGCCTTGCGGAAAGGGCTCGTCGCAAGTGCGTCTACGGGGAGCGTCGAATGTGGGTGTGCACACATTGACGTGAGATACGGGGCGGCCCATCAGATCGCGGAGGGGCAAACGGGCGCCAGTGAGGTCTAGGTTTGGGTTGTATGCAATGAGTGAGTGGTGGTGGAAACAGAGGGAGGAAGTGTTGACGTGGTGACCATGTCAGTTGGCGAAATGGGCACCACGGCCAGGGGAACATCGGTTGATTGGAGTGTGTGCGATCGAGTCATGAGCCATGGTGACCGAGCGAGCTTGACTTGGAAGGTGGGTCAGTGAGGATGCAAAAAGCAGGAGTGAAAAGCGGCCGTGCTGTGACGAGCCAGCCCTCGATGTGTAGCAGCGGGAGGGATCAAGGCACGGATCGGACTCGAACACAACAAAGACAAGACAAACCCCCCCCCCCCAAAAGAAAACGCGATCGAGATGGAGTAGTGGGGGGTCAGAAGCCCAACGCCCTTGTTTCGAAAGCAGCCAGTGACGCCAACGAACGCATCCGCATCAACGCCCCAGCCACAACGACAACGTGTAGCCGCCCATTTGCACCCAAGCTGGGCCACTGAAGCTGGTCACCACCCCACGACCAACGATGATGGTTTCCGACTAACTGACGAATTAACTTGAATCCACAAGAGAAGCAAGCAAGGAAATACGCAAAGAGGTGAAGTGAAGGAAAAAAGAAAAAAAAGAAAAAAAAAAGAAAAAGAAAAAAAATGATGAAGGGGATGGGGTGTTTGAATGACCGTTGGGGTTGCCGTCTTGTCTCTTTGACACACACACACACACACACGCACACACACGCACGCACACACACACACACACACACACACAGAGAGAGACAGACAGAGATAGAGAGATGGAGGAGAAGGGTTGAGCCAACGTTCTTGAGCCGAGCCGAGTCGAGTCGAGCCAAGGAGCTTGGGTTTGAGGATGGTTTTGCAGTGTGACTTGATGATGGATGCGTGCTTGTGTGCGTGGAACCAAGCTGGGGTGGGCGGGGGCCCATGCAACGGATGGTGAAGCCATGACACCACGAGATGCTGATGGCATACGGAGAAGAGATGGGAGCATATGTTGGGGCAGCAGCTCTTTGGCACATACACTGTGTCAGAAAGCGCGCGCGCGGATGAACATGTGTCGCATGTGTGCCCGCGCCTGAGTGCGAGTGTATGTGTGTGAGAGTGTGAGAGAGGGAGAGAGGGACAGAGGGAGAGAAGAAAAGAACAAAAAGGGCCGAAGCGCGAGCGAGCGGCGAGTGTTGGTGCTCGTGGTGCTAACCACCCGTCCCGTCGAGAAGGGCAATCAGGCCAGTTGAACGTGTCTCTTGGTGGGCCTTGTTTCAAAAGTGGTGCCGGTACTGTCGAATGGATTTGGGCCGGTGATGCTCACGCCTCAGTACGCACCGTCCGATGCCACGAGCTGAAGTGACGCGCGAGTGGGGCACAACAGCAGCAGAAGAAGAAGAAGAAGAAAAAAAAAACTGTCGTCCAAGACAGAGAGCACGCGCGCACCACAAAGCGCGAGAGAGAAGAGCGAGGTGTCACAGCCTTGGGGTACAAGGGGTGACGAAATAATGCTCTCTCTCTAAATCTCTCTAAATCTCGTCTTCGTCTGTTTGTTTCTCTCCCTCTCTCTTCGCTCTCTCTCTCTATCTCTCTCTCTCTCTCAATGTCTCTGTTCTCTCTCTGTCTCTCTCTCTGTCTCTTCTCTCTCTCTATCTCTCTCTCTGTGTCTCTCTCTCTCACTCCCCGCGCTCTCCCTCTCTCTCTCTCTCTCACTCACTCCCCGCGCTCTCCCTCTTTCTCTCTCTTTCTCTCTCTTTCTCTCTCTCTCTCTCTCTCTCTCTCTCTCTCTCTCTCTCTCTCTCTCTCTCTCTCTCTCTCTCTCTCTCTCTCTCTCTCTCTCTCTCTCTCTCTCTCTCTCTCTCTCTCTCTCTCTCTCTCTCTCTCTCTCTCTCTCTCTCTCTCTCTCTCTCTCCCCGCGCTCTCCCTCTCTCTCTCTCTCTCTCGCTGAACGGCAGCGTCCCTTTTGTGGGACGCAAGCAACTTGCTAAGTGCGCAGAAGTAATGGGTCAGACGGGCCTTGAAAGGTGATGACGTTGACATAGCGTGGTACAGAATGTGGGTCATTGGGAAATTTTGTGGGAATCGTTCCTGATGGTGGGGACTTTGGGTCATAAAGCAACGATCAAGTCGACAGCTTTCTCTCCTTATTCTTTCCCTTTGTTCATCCCCTAAGCCATCAAGTGCTAACGACACGGGGGTGCGTCCGAAAAAGTGTTCAATTTGCGCATGTCACTGTGCATCAGGACCTGCGTGGAGGTGGGTGGACAGGTCGAAAAAAAGGGGGCTGACGCAGCGCATGCTCGCCATCGTCTGCTTCATCATCCACGAAAATGACAACATTTACTTGCTCAAAGCCAAAGGCCAAAGTGAAGAGATCATACGCCTACCAACGCTAACCATTGCATTTGCTGCAAAATATTCCTGTCAATACCTTCCCAACCAAACCAACTTACCAAACAAACACTTGGGGCTGCAAGAAAATCGTTGGTGTGGAGTATTTCATCATGATTCTGGTATGACGTCAGGACTTTCTTGCCTCAAGGTTCATCTTGGTAGGTTGAAGTGATGGATTGGATATCGTGATCGCCGCGATCCACGTGCTTCGTGTCACTAACATCAGCAAAATCAGCAAAACGCCTCGGCCAAACATCAGCGCCAACCGCCACACCAAACTGCTTTGTCCTTTCGCCTGTCTCATCCCACAAACCCTCTTTTTTTTGTTTCTCTTGTATTCCATGACAAACAAACCAAACTCCTTATAAACCTCCTCCACCAGGCCATCACGTACGATGCTGACCCAGTCCTTTTCAGCGCCAAACCCAACGTCCCACAACCAGCGGTCGCACATGCCTCACAACCCTTTCAACACAAAAAAAAGCGAACAACAAAAGTCATACACGCGAACATACTTGCATAGGACACCAGTCCAAGGCCAGGGACATCTCTGCATTCGTTTCATCCTTCATCCTTCTTCTTCGGCAGACGCATTCGAACAGTTGGACCCAGTCTGTTCAACCCTGACCCTCGGCCACAAGCTTGGCCCAATCGCGTGCACAGCGTGGTCATGTATTCGAATGTGGCGCTTCATTCCTCTCTCCTCTGCCTCACTCCTCTCCCTCTCCTTGTCTGCCTCCCGAACTCTCACACTCTCTTCCTCTCTCTTCCTCTCTCTCTTTTTCTCTTTCTCTCTCTCTCTTTTTCTCTTTCTCTCTCTCTCTCTCTCTCTCTCTTTCTCTCTTTCTCTCTTGCTCTCTTGCTCTCTCTCTGTGGCTTTCTTTTCAGCCATCCATAACATGCAACCACGACGAGTGGCCTCGAGCGCGTCGTTGGCTCGCACCTCCCATGCGGTTTCCACGGATAAAACAATTGACATCCGCATGTCAATTGACATGTGAAGAAGAAACAACTGTCATGTTTACCTTGTTCTTCTTCTTCTTCTTCGTGCCACGGATCACAACTCGACCAAGCGCATCGTGACTGCACAGAGGCGATTTTAAGAACCCTTCTCGGAAGTAACAATGTCCTCATCAATTTATTTGACGTCCTCTACGCTACATGCCTACCATATTTGCAAACACCTCTCGAATCTAATTTAAATATTTATTTCAAACTACCCCTCGAACCTGAATAGATGGTTACTTGCATGCATGCAGCCGTGTCTGAGCAGCTTCTGTTCATTTTTCTTTTCAACTTTTTTTTTTGATGAGCCAGAGCACATCAAAACGACCCCCTCGCTCCGCAGCTTGGGCCCCTAGAGCTTCACATGTCAGTCCAGCTCGGGCTGGCTTGATACCTCACTCTTTTTCATACGTTAATCAAGGCCACCGAGAGGAATCCGACCACCGCGGACGGGTCCGCACGCGTTCGCAGCCATGGCCCAACGATCGTCTGCATTTTCGCCTCACGGGCCTCTGCAGCAGAGTTTTGACGCTGGCATCGCCATCACCCCGAGCACCAACTTGACCGGCACCACCAACACCAACACCATCGGCACCACATCTGACATCCCCGCTGTCGCATCCGAAGCCGCCCATATGCCACCATCCCAGCCCGAACCGCCCGCCAAGCGTGCCACAGCCACCATTCGACCCCAGTCGCAGAGCTCAGCAAGTCCGAGTGCAGCAAGTCCGAGCGCAGCTCGAATGCGCGTATCCCACGTACAGCCCACGCGCGCTGCGGCGCCAACGGCTTCTCGGATACAAGCCGGAGACGGCATCTCCAGAAAACGCCGCATCTGCCACGTCTGCCTCGATGGGGTCAGCAAGGCCAAAGCATACCTCATATGCATATCATGCAACCTTGTTGTCAGTGGCGCCTGCTCTGCTTATCGTTGCTCGTCCCTTGCCAACCATCGTTTGCTTGCCTGCCGTCGCTCACGGCGCTGCTCTGGGCACTTCAAAACAGGTTCATCGACAATGTTACATGCTCCAGGATTGCACCTTGGCTCCTTCGAGCACTCCTGACTCGCACTCCCGCTCGGAATCTTCAACTCAAGCTAGGATCCCCGCAGACTCTACCACGCCATGGTTATGCGATCCCTGTGCCATGGAAGCCCCCGACGCCGTCTGTTGCATGTGCCCTGCCCCGGGTGGCGCGCTCAAATTGGTATATTCTCCGGCCTTGACTGTGCACCTCTGGCAGTGCCTTTGTTCATGCGTAGTTGTCGACTTCCGACTACTCGGCGCGACTCCGTCATCTTTGCCCAGCGTCTGTGCCTCACCCGCCCTCTCACTTGGCGACAGACTTCCTGCCCTGGATTCTTTGCCCACATTGTGTGTGCCCATGCCTGTCCAAGTGTCAGCATCAGTCCCACCCCAAACCCAGTTCTGCTCTTGGCCCGAGTCCCCGTCAATACATGGACTCTCAAGGTTGGCTCAAGCCCTCCTCTCTCTTCCTCTCTTCCTGTCTCTCTCTCTTCCCTTCTCTCTTCCCCTCTCCCTCTCTTCCTCTCCTCCTTTTTCCCCCTGTTTTCCAAACCCCAGGCGCCCACTTTTCAGCTCATGTCAGCCTTCTCCTTTCCGTCTTCGCGTTGGTTTCAAAAAGACATGCAGCTTTTGCGTACGCACCACTACTGTCACCCCAATCGGGGTGACCGTGCAGTGCGCTGACCCTGGTTGTACCACCAGGGCTCATGCCTCGTGTGCCCAACGGTTTGTTGACGGTATGGCTTTGGTGCGCCCCGCCGAGCTAGCTTCCGTATTGCTCACCGTTGTTCCAACCGACCCCTGCTCTCCCTTCATGCGACTCCTTCGTCTAGCTCCGGCCACATATCCTGGACTCCCCCCGGCTTGGGTCAGCCAGGGAGGCCCGAGTTTCGCTGTTCCCGCCATGCCGAACTGGCCACCGTCACCCGCCGTGTATGTCCAGTGCAGACCGCAACCATGACCGTCGACGTTCATCAAACTTTGCCCTCACCCAATTTTTTTATTTTTTGTTTATTTTCTTGTTTTGTCTGTGTGTGTGTGTTATAGCGCAATAGTTATAAGCTGGTGGTTGTTCAAATGAACTCCTCTAATCACCAGAATTCTGTCGACTTTGACCTGCTTCGTGTATGCCTCTCGCCCAACCCCCAAAACTCACTTGCCCATGGAGATGGCTCTCCATCAGTCTGGCTCACGTAAGCCTCTTACTTTACGCCGACTATCACCGCCTCCGCGGCACACCTGTAGTCTCGACGTGAGCAGGCTCAACAGCAATGGACTGCCTTTCGCATGTGGGCGCTTGAATCAGGTGTGCTCTTGCTTAGAGCCTGCCTTAGCTATGGAGAGGGTGGCGGGGTATCATTCATCATCAAATCCTCGCACCTCCCCCTTTGCTTGATAGGTCATGATTTGGGTGCCGATGTGGCTTTTCAAAGCGCACTCGTGGCCCGACAGCAGCAACAAGTTCAGGTATAGGCCTCTGCTTCCATGATGCCACCCGGCACGGGTCCTTGCGCTCAGCTTACCCATCCCTGTAGCGTTAAACGCTGGGCCCTCAGGGTGGGGCCTTGTCGACTCATTGGTCTGTGACTGGGTGATAAAAATTTCTAGCGTGCGTGGAGCTGGCAGCACGATCACCTCGGTCGACCGGCCCTCTCCAATGCTTTTCTGGATGACTTTGGGCAGCTCGAGACTCGCGAGTACCAGTACGTTCACCACTCAGTTCTTTCCGCGCGCTGCAACGGGGGTTTGCCATAAGCCCGTTTGCTGATTCAAGACGGTGCTTCCAGACTGGACGTCGCAGTGAAGCAGCGACAGGCCCAACGTGACCAGCTACAGCGATGCGTTGGTTTGCTCGAGACCGCCATTGAGATGGAACAGTCAGCCAGTCTGAGCGTTTCTGCGAATCAGCAGAAGATTGGGGCCGCCATCGAGTAAGCTTCCACCGCATGGCTGCTGAAGAGCTGTACCATTCTCGGCCCTCACCTTCCTCTTTGGACGTGATGAACATGCAATTTTACCCCATCCACAGTGCACTCAGATCGCTATTTGCCATGGCCCACCGTGAGCTACCACGCTTCGAGCCCCAAGATTTGGCACAAACGTCCCATTCTGCGGCCAATCCTCCAACCGCATCTACGAGCACTGACCCTGCGCATGCGGAGCCACGAACCATGCTCAACCGCCCTGTCGAGGTGTGTTGCAGGTTCTCCCTCGCCATTTAGATGATCGAAAAAGGCTCATGTTGTTCTGTGATTGCCACACGTGCATGATGGCAAAGGTTCGCGGCCTGCATGGCGGGGCCAGTCCGCTCAATGGCGTCTATCTCCCCATCGTTGCAACGCTGCTGGGTCACACTTGAGTAGATGCTGTCTACCTGTATCAAGACGTTCAAGGCATGACCTGGAATATTGGCCCGACCGTCTTTGGCGATGGTTAGATTCCTAGAAGCTATTTCGGCGAGACGAGATTTGTTCAAACCCACCCCGTTTTTCTCCCATGCTAATGTGGCTTGGCTCTGTTCCTGGACATAGACGTATTTGCATACCAAGTCAACGATACTGAAGCACCATGGCTCTCGCGGCAACCATGGCATGTGCACGTGAAAAGCGCTTTTGTAGCCCATTTCTCGGTACGTTCGTCCAAAGTCCCTGAAGCTACCCACCCCATATCTTTCCGGCTGATTCACGAAAGCGCCCCCTTTGCTTGCACATGGGCTGCTCAATACCAGATGCGCGTTGTCCCTCGGGCCAGCATTGCCGTCGGTGTCGAGCTGCAGTAGCCGATCTGTCTTTCTGATCCATCATACCAGCCCACATTTTTGTCAACAGTAAATTGCATAAAAGACCCTCTGCTGCGCCGCAGCCCACTGGATCGTCCGCGGAAACTTGAAGAAATGAGAACAAACTGCCCCCGCCCAAAAAAAATACAAAAGATATATGGCTCTCACGCCAAAGAGAGAGAAAGGCATGGCATGTCATGCCCGGTCATATCAGCGGTTTTGCTCATGAATCCAGAGCAAAAAAAAAAAGCTCCCGTCATTCGGCCAGGGAACGTGCAAAGACGGCGTCGCGTTGCTGCTGCTCGAGTGCTGCCATCTCCTTTTGCTGATGGTGAAGTTCAGCTACGGAAATGGTCGCCTTCGGGTAAGGTGTTTGAGCCACTTGTGCGGCAGCGCGAGCCTCTTCGAGCTCCTGCAGCTCCCGGGCCAATGCCTCATCCGAAACTGAAATATCAAAGCCGAATTGCTCTTTCTCATCCTCAAGATTTGATTCGGCGTCTGTTGTCGCTGCCGAGTTGGTGAGGTCGGCTTCGGTGGGTGCTGCCGGCTCAAAGCTACCGGCGCTATCTTCAATCTTGAGCGACTCTTGAATGTGGCGGGCAGCAGCTTCAGCCTCTTGCTCGCGCAACAGTGCGGCCTGAAGTCCCAGCATTGGGCATGAGGCCAGGCATTGGTGCACAGGCACTGCATTGCACGAGTCTTGATGAGCGCAGAGCACGCACCTGACGCTCCTCTTCTTGCAAACGTTCAACAAATTCGGCATCCTGCCGAGCAATTTCCTCTTGCTGCCCATGGAGCGGGGTTTAAGGACAAGATTAGCCTCTGCAAGAGACTGTATACAGCAGACTCGCAGCCCGTGCCAACCAAAACTCAAACCTGGAGGCGATACTGCTCGGCCAACTCCTCCTCGGTCAACACGACTTTGCGTACATGCCGGGCATCGATGCGGCCAATATGCCGAGCACTCTGGTTGAAATTCTTCTTCTCCCGCCCTGCCCATGTAGGCGGGCGCGCATACAGACAATTGGCGAGCGATGAGGCCAGCCTGTCCATCAATAAGAAACACATGATACAACGCCCCCCGGCTGACACCCCCACGTACAATAGTGCTCATGGAGTTGATGCGCGAGGCCTTCGTCCGACTTTTCCAGAAAGTGACGCCGCCCTGCACACACACACACAAACAATGGCCACGCGGCCCAAAGCGCCAAGCACAGATAAGTCCCACCACGCGCAACCCACCACTGCAACCCCCTTGAAAAGCCGCTGGCACCAGCGGCGGCGACAGCGGCAACTCCTCGTCCTGCTCACTTTGATCGTAGTCATCAATGCCCACAACCTCGGGCCGACCCGAAGCCATCTTATTGGTTGCTCAAATTTTTGGGAAAAAAAAAAATTTGAGAGAGAGGAAGACACATTTGATCAAATTAGAGGGGGTTCTTGATGATTCTCTCTCTAAATCTCTCCTCTCTCTAAATCTCTCTAAATCTCTTCTCTCTTTCTCAAACTCTCTCAAACTCTTCAAACTCTCTCTCAAACTCTCAAACTCTCAAACTTCAAACTCTCTGTGTTGTTACATGTGGTAGTTGTACTTTTCCTCTCTCTCTCTCTCTCTCTCTCTCTCTCTCTCTCTCTCTCTCTCTCTCTCTCTCTCTCTCTCTCTCTCTCTCTCTCTCTCTCGCTCTCTCTCTGTTTCTGCCTGACCATTCATCACTCCCTCTCTCTCTCTCTCTCTCTTTTCTTGTTGTTGTTGGCTGATCATGTCGCAGCAGCAGCAGAGCGGCGGTGCAGGAGCGCCGATGGTGCTGCCGGTGCCCACTGGAAGTGGGGCGCCGAGCAGTTCGGCCAGTCGGAAGAAGACGACTACGCGTAAGAGCAAAGGCACTGCGAAAGGTATGTGACACTGCACAGTCAATCATGAATGGCATCACCCCGCTGCCATCATCTTGCCGTGCTTGTCACGTCTGTGCCAACTTGCTGCATGCCTGTGCCGCGCCGGATGGCAGACAAGAAGAAGCGAACCACCAAAGCTAGCAAGGCTCCAAAGGAAAATCTTAGGGTACACTCCGCCCTTGGCGAGCCTGCCGCATTTGCCATGTCAGCTCGTCGCCGATTGTCTCATATCTGCCTGCTGCGATGACCGCCACCCCAGCTCGTCATCCGACGCCTGCCACCCAAGCTCCCGGAAGAAATCATGATGCGACTGCTTGCTCCTTACCAGCAATTCTTTTCCAATTTCTACTTTGTTGTCGGAGACCCCACGTGAGTCTGCCTCTCTGACTCGCCGAGGGCTTGGCCAATGCTTTTCCCGTTTCTTCATCCATCCCCACTTCCCCACGTAGTCTGGAAAAGAATTGCTTTGCACGCGCTTACGTCAAGTTCAACAACCGTGACGCCATGCTCCACTTTGCCCGAGGCTTTGACGGCCATCTGTTCAAAGGCCAGGATGGTCAGTCCCTGCGCTTACCCCCATTCTCTCGTTTTGGTTTTTGGTTTGCGTTTTTATTTCTGATGAAAAACTGTTTATTCACCATCGCCCCATTCCTGGCAGGGTCGGAACACCGTGCACGGGTGGAATGTGCTCCATTTGCCGACGTGCCACCAAAGAAAGCACCCGACCCCCTTCAGGGCACAATTGAGGATGGTGCGGTCCGCCGCGCAAGAGCAAGCGCCCCACACGCATACATTGTTGGAACAAGAACCTCACATCTCCCCCCCTTTCTCAATGCAATGACCAGATCCGGACTACAAGCGCTTTCTAGAGGAACGTGACGCCAAGCCCGAAGCCTTGCCGAGCGCTGAAGAATGGCTCAAGGAGCATGAAGCCCAACTTGCTGGTCAGTAGCGAAATGCTTGGGATCTGCGGCCCACCAATCGTGAATGGCCGGCTCGGCTCATTCCGTCCCATGCCCACAGAATTGGCAGACCCTGCCGATGCCACCCCGCTGCAGGCATTTGTGGGCTTAAAATTAGAAGAAAAGGCCAAGGTGTGTTTCTGGCAGCCCGAACCCCGTCGCCGCGCACCGCGAGGCACCACCCGCCTGCCCATTGCACAAATCTGATACGGCTAGCCTCGTCTGCTGCACATGATCGCTCTAGGCTAAACGCGCTGAACGGCGCTCAAAGGCCAAGGCCAAGGTAGGTGCCAGGCCTCTAGCACAGCCCTATGGTGTGCGACTCGAAGCAACCTGATGCGCATTGCTTTTTGCCCCATTTGACAACACACCCTTCAGGACAAGGTGAAGGCCAGCAAGGCCAGTGCCAACACGCACCACGATAAAGAGACCAAAAAGAAGATGTGGACCACCACCGACAAGGCCCAGGTCTCATTCGCAGAGCGCGTCAGCGCATCGAAAAAGGCCGCTGCGGAGCAGGCCAAAACAAAAGCAAAAGGCAACAGCTCTCACTCTGGCAGCGGCTCAAAAAAGAGCAACGTGTCGCTACCCCCGCCAACCCCCACGCCGACCAAGATCCTGACAAAACCTAGCAGCGCTCGCAATGCCTCAGCCTCGGATAAAAGCAAAAGCAAGCAAGAAGGGCCTTCGGCGCCCGCGTCCAACACGCCTGGCCAGCTCGTTTTACCGGCTCCGACAGCACAAGCTCCCACCCAGTCAAGCCGACCTGCTGCAGGAGCGGGAGCCAACAACAAGCGCGACGAAGCATCAACAGACAAATCAAGAGGTCGCCGGCAAAAGCGACCAGATCGCGCCACTTACAAGCCACCTTCTGAACGACACGCTGCGAGGCTAGCGGCTGAAGGTGCGGGTGACGCTGCCCCCAAAGCGCCAGGTGGTCGCGGCAGCGGCAGTGGTGGCCGAGGTTTGTTCGTCGTGCGCTGAGTGAGCTGCCTGGGGCTGCAACCCCCAACACTTGACTCTTACACCCCCTCTGTGCTGCTTGACATCCTAGGCGGTGGCCGTCGTGGTGGACGAAGCCGGGTATGTGACCGCACATTGGTATCTATCCCCTTTCCTGCACCTAACCCCCAACGCACTCGGGATATTCAGTGCCTCACCTGCGGTCTCCGGAATTGTGGCTTCCCGCAGGGGAGCGCTGCTTGAGCTGGAAGGGCATTCAACCCTCCGCTCTGACTGTCATGCGGGTTGTGCCTATGTGGAAGGGTATCCTATGGCAAGCTCATGGCGCAGCGACCTTCCTATGCCTTTGATGCCTTTGAAGTGGGTTTGACAAGCGCTGGAGCATGCATTCTATAGCTTGAAACGTTGCCCCCACGCTGGCTGGTCCTGCAGGGCGCACACATTTGCATCCTGGCTCGCCATGCAAGCCACTCCATGCAATCATCGCATCTTGTTGGCTCACCACCCCCGTGCTGAACAACGCCTGCGTTGCACACACCAGATGCCGTGCACCTGCCTCATGTTGACTGGTTGTACCAAGACAATCAGGTTAGGATACAGATGTGAGGTCCATGGTGTTTCGTGACCATGATGCGTTTGGTGCTCCCATATTTTTTGGGGGGGTGGGGGGCCATGCCAAGCCATGGCGCTTTGATAGTTGACGCATACAATGCCATTTCAATTCGGGCGGACTGAATTGTTGCTTCTTGCCAACAACCATACCCACAAACACCGTCCATCACCGAGACATCCATGGAGAAGACACAGCACGCTGCCAAGCAGTCAGCATTAAAACTTAAGCTCAGCTTGTGGCTACAGCGCGAGCCGCCAGCCAATCGGCATGGTTGTGACCAATTTCCTCCACAAGACCGTTGACCTGTGACCCCGTTCGACGGCAAGGTGAGCCACATGCCAAGATGTAAGGATAGCGAGGGCATGGCACATAAAAAGTGGCGACGTACATGAGCACAGAGAGCAGCAATGGCCGCATCCCAATCCTGCACCAAGTGTTCCGCGTCTGCAAAAGTGACTCGACCTTCCAACTGATTGATTTGACCCTAAAGTTGAATCAACCACGCCGGGGCCAAAAGTGGAGGGCAGATACGTACGATATGAAGCAAGAGTTCAGGGCCATGGCAGAGTTAAATCAGGTTTCAAGCAACGACATACGCTGAGCCGTCCATCGGCAATCATTTGAGCCACTGTATGCTCTGCCTGAGAGAGCCGCCAGCGGCGAGGAGGTGAGAAACAGGCAAGTGCACATGACAGCAGGAAAGATGGCAAGGGTAATCTCAAGAACACGAAAAGTATTAAGCTACCTGCTCCGTGGACACGTTGACGAGGCGACCCAGTTCTTCGAGGGTAATGTTATCGTAGACGCGGGTGGCAGACAGCATGTTATGTTCAACCACCGCCTTTTCCAGCACCGTGGAGCCTGGTTGCATTCATCGGACAAGCCACCATAATCGTGAGGATGAACAGCAACCCAGCCCAGACGGCCAGCAGTGTCATTGGTCAGGCCTGAAAGCCTGAAACGCACCATCAGCAGTGCGCGCCTTGTGGTGTTCTGCCAGACCCGCTGCAAACTTGGCCAGGTCCTCGCTCCGCACGATGCGCTGAAGGTGCCTGAAAATGCAAGGCGCAGACATGAGATGCGACGAGACGATGACGGTGACAATGCACGGCCCATGCGAGTTGGACTGACATGGCTTCAAGTGTGTGAAATTGAGGAAGAGCATGTGTGCGCTCGTCCTTGAAAAGGGTGGCAAGCAGTCGAGATCGGCGCGGGCCAGCCGGGGCCAACACTGCGCAGGTCACGGCTTGGGACAAGGCTGCTTGGCGGGCCTCCTCGTCGGGAATGGTATAAGAAAGGTCCAAATAGCGCTGAGATGCTTGGAGGTACTGTGTTGGCATGAAGCAAAACACAAAGATTGGTGAACAGCTAACCGCGCGGGTCGTGGATGCCTACGAGATTGGCCCGGTGTGCAGCACAGATGCATGCAAAACCTACCTTGCGCTTGGCGTCGTTGACACGTGCGGCTTGCACCTGGGGACCATCAAAGATGCGAGTAGGCAAGAAAAAGACATGAACCAGGCGACAGTCGAAGGAAAAGGGCAGACGCGGCAGTCTAGAGCCAAGACCATCGAGCACGCGATGCAGACGCAGGGTACTGTGGCGCGGGTTCTCACCTTGAACTTGAACTGCAGCTCTGTATTGTTGACTTCGTGGGCAATCATGGATGCGCGGCTGACATAGGTCTCGGCCATGCCAGCATCTTCCTCCTCCAAGTAAAGGGCCCCGATGCGCAAGTAAATGTGAAATTTGTACTCTGTCTCCACGTGACTGTGAAGAGCACCGAGGCACCGCGAAGCGATTTTCAAAGTTAAAAAGAGGCAACGGAGGCAGATTTGTTGGATTGTGGGGCACCAAGCCGGCTCACCGATGGCTTGATTCCAGGGGGATGGCTGCCAGGACGCGCGCTGCGTCCACCCAGGCTTCGCGGCTCTCAAGGATATCAGCCAATACTTCACGAGCGCGGCAAGTCTAAAACAATGCGCGTGTTGAATTCGACACCACTGTCAATGTAAACCACGTCGCCTTTGCGGTGCACAAAAAGGGCATCGTGTGGGTAAGCCGCATACCACGTCTTCAAAGGCCACTGAGCGCGTTTCGGACGCCTGGAGATAGTGAGCAAGAACTTTTTCAACCTCCTACAGGCGTAGCAGTGAGATTTGAGAAAAGCCTGGTTGGGACCGGGATATGCTAGGTGACAGGGCCACACCGGAATGTCTCGATGTGCTTGGACAGAAGACCTGAGCCCATTGATCATGGCATCCAGAGCTTGTTTGGCAGGCATGAGAAGAGTTGATTCATCCAGCACTGAGGTCAACGGTTGGTTTCCAAAAAAAAAAAGAAGAATGGATCAAAAAATCAATAAATGGAGAAGCGTGAGGATGAAAGGGTACACGGGGCAAATGGAGGGAACTTGGACAGGGAAACAAGGATACGCTGGGGGGGGTTCAGACGGCAGGCGTACGCTTGGAAGTCAGGCTGGTTAGCGCTCCAACATTTGAAGCGGGAGCAGCAGAAAGGCGCACAGCCTCGTCCCTGCCAGAATTGCAGCCCATTCAATCGCCGCCCATCCTGCAACGTGAGGGGATTGGCGACCCCAATGGCTGAACATCAATCAGGCCGCGTCACGCACCGCAATGCATCTTGGCCCGACGACGCCATTGGATCGGTTACAAGCCGATACGCCTGGCGATCCTCTTGTACGCCAAGCCGCTCCCTCCAAACACCAACCTGGTACCCCCTCGGACCAAGGTCAGCACGCACGCGCACCTACGCACGCTCTCTATCTCCCTCACTTTCTATATCCCTCCCTCTATCGCTCTCCGTCCAGAGCGCCAGAGCGTCAGTGCGTGTTGGAGCTCGCGTCAAGCCACTGCCACTGNCCTCTCTCTCTCTTTCTCTCTCTCTCTCTCTCTCTCTCTCTCTCTTTCAAAAAA